GTAACTCCAGCCAGTTCGACTTGCCAGAATTTAATGATGGGATGATATCATCCTCCAGTGACTGCCAGATGCTCTCTTCTACAAGAGCCTGACCATATGACATGTAAATCATAGTGGTAACAGGAGATGCAAACTCACCATTAATGAAAAGGAAACAATGGAATAATGCAAAAAGATCATTTATTGGCAAAGAATCCACAAAATATTAACCAGAAATACTGATGCCAATAATGTTGTTCATAATGGGCTATAAACACAATACATCCTAGGAAGATTTTGATGGGTAGAATTTTGTACATACTTCCAATTAATGAATATGAAACTTACAGAAGCTTGAGATGCGTAAGTGCGATGGTCTTCATATATAACTTGAAGAGACGACATATTAATAATTGGTAGTTGAAGTCCCACCACCTCGTGCTTCATTCCAGTTTTCTTCAAAATGCAAAATGATATAAAAATGAGAATGAAAATAAGAACGATTTTGTATAAACAAGAACAAAGAGACCATAGGTAAGTCTCGGAAACGCTATATTTTTTCCTTAGGAGCCTCAGTAGAGTGTATCAAAGCGCATGTAAAGGCTAGGCACCTTTACAATGTCGAAAAAGTCCCTCAGAAAAATCTCTTGGGTTGCCTTGGATTGGTATCCACAGTCCAGTACTTTGAGCATATTTCTAACTGCAACATCATGCATCCCAACAATTGCATACCACCTGAACATATAATTTTAAGCAAGTTATAGACCACAAATTTATAAATTTTACATCGCACACGACCTACATTTACCATATTCAGAACTTACTGTCCAATATGAAAATATACATGGTCTTTGATATGGCTCCATGTAGTTGATTTATAAACAGTGATTGCACTTTTGTATGTACGAATTGCATGGTTGACCTGGCAAAGGCAAACAAAATGTGTTCTTTAGAATGCAAAGCATGGTCAAAGCTTGAGTTCTTTCAGAAAAGTGACATGTACCTGATCACAGTTTTTATAGTGATCTCCTGAGAGAACTAAATGAAATCCATACTTGTGTAGCATCACTGGCCTAGTTAACACGTAACAGTAAGAAGCATGCTCCAACATGACTGCAGCGTGCAAGGGTTCCTGCAAAATGAGCAAAAGTTAGCAACAGTATGATATTCACACTGTCTATAGGCCTAAAAAGAAGCACCTCTCCACAAATGCGGAAGTAAACAGAAGCAGCTTCTTTGTGCTGCTTTCTAGCCTTTAGCATCTCTGCCCACCAGAGGCCACATCTCGTAGCATTTTGAAAGCCAGACTTCCCAAGTTTCTGCATGAGAAATTTAAAGCATGTTTCACCACATACTGCCACGTCACTTACTTATGTTCAACAATTAGTATTTCAGTTTCATGTTTTGCTAATATAAACATCAAATCAAGTAATGGATGGTCATTCACTTAAGGAACTGTTTAGATTAAAGAGTGGATTACAAAGACATACCATATAAGTGCTGAATGCATTTTCCATGCAGTACTCAGCTTCCTTTTTTGACTGGTCTGAGATGAAATATGCAAGTCCCATCATTTCCTTCCAAACATGCATGAAAAGATGAGTAGTAGGCCCAAATTTTAGTAAAACATAACAATGGCCTATAGATGACGAACTACTGAAGCGACCACGGGACATAAAGTGAAGAACTATGAATTTAAAGTCCCAAAATGATCAGTCTGATAACATGCCAAGCCTATTCTATATGTAAGTTTCGAAATACAAGACCAATATTGACTGATTAAAAATAATGCCACAGGAACACATCTACATAAACATAATTAATTACAAAGATAGGAAGCTACCTGAACACCAGCATAGTGCTTCCAAGCTTTATCGAGCTTGTAATCTGTTGATATCAACCGATAGCTTGACAGTGCAAGTTCATAGTCATGCAACATGAAGGCGTAATCACCCAAAATTCTAATTTGAGATTCGGTGGAGCTAAAGGTATACCTTCAATATTGAAATCAAGATTGTTAAAGGTTATAATTAGGTCAGGGTAATCATAAAAAGGGGCAAGGGTTTCAGGAAAACATACATAGAACCTTTAGTCGCATCCGGACCATCGTCTTTTCCTTTTCTCCACCATAAGTTTTTTATCTGGTTTCTAAGACCTTTCCTTGTTGCGGAAATCTAGTGACACAACAAAATGCAAACTAAACGATAAGGAAAGAGAACAAGAGAAGCTTAATTATACAAATAACTTGTTGGAATATCTAAAGCTAACCTGTTGATTAAGTTCTCGAACTTTCTGCTCCATGTAAGGAATTATATGCCTGGAAGCAAACTCTTGAATCAGATCTTTAATCTGCTCCAAAGATGCCAGAAAAAAAAGAAAAACCACCGGTTAAAACATTCCTAAACAGTTGAAAGGTGTGAATCTACTCAGCAACAGAATGTTACTCGAGAACTAGCAGTCAGAAGCCTCTAAAAATACCTCCACAATATCATCACCAGTGAGAGCACATCCAAGTTTGTCGGCTGAAACACTTGATTTCTTTCAGAAAAAAATTGGTAATCAACATAATGAACTTACAAAATTGACATGGATTGATGTATTATGTAAGAGCCTTGAATAATATGTTGTATAAATTTCTGATGAGTGACTTACAAACGAAGCCCAGGGATTAGCCTGATGTTCCACGTTCCCCTCTTTCGATGAATTAGTGCAAAGTAAGTTGCATTCATTATTTCCAAATTGACTTCTCATCTCAGACAGAACTTTAGACGTTCTACAGAAGAAATAGCATCCAGTCAACTAAAACATTACATTTGACACCCATAAAATTAAAATCATATCATATACGAGGGAATAAGGAACAACGACCTCTCTGTTGTTGCATCTTGATTGTCATGCACCAACAAGTAGTGCTTCAAAATATTTGGGTCCATTGCACCATCATTAGGTAATCTATTGGAGTTGAAAAGATCTATAAAATTTTTTATAGGTTCTTCGTCTTTTGATGAAACTACCAAGAGACCTGAAAGCATATTTTAAATTATTTGGTACTCAACAGAAAACTCTATGAGACATAATAGATCAGCAAACCTAGTTTAAAGAGAGAAGACAACAACAACGATTTTCTAAGACTCATTTAATGTCTTACAAGCCACAGGATGATCAAAAGCTTCGTGGTCTGAAAACGACAATGTACGTATAAGTTCTTTATTGTAATACTGAAACCATGAGGGTGCGATTTCAGACTCTGGATCTACAGGGAGGAAAATATGTCAGCATTAGAAAAATAACGAGTTAGAGAATTCGACTTCTCGATTATTAAAGAAAACTAGCGCATGAAGTTAAGAGTAAACTAATTAAGGCATTGACTGCTCATATAAGCATACTTTTGAGTAGAGACTTACTAGAGAGTATATCAGTAATTTGAGGAGGGTCAGATGTCAAATTCTGAAAATCCTTCTCCCCAGCTTGAGTAATAACATGTTCTAGCCGTTGCTTTGCAACCTAGCCATTAAGTAAACATAATCAAAATTGAGCTCAACACTAAAGATGCAGAAAAGAGGAGCCTCTAGAACTACAAATACAAGGTAATGATTTCTATACGTCCAATTAAAGGCCATTCACATAGTTGCACAACAAGAACTAATAATCAAGTGCCTTAATGTTTAGAACTTCAACATATTCTACCGAAGCAAATTGTCATACCTCTACGTTTGGTTGTCTGATATCAGAGGCATAAAACAATCTCAACGTAAACTTCTTTAGCCGATATAGCTGATCGCTTGATGTCCGAACAGGCACTGTACAAAATTTTACAATTGCAATCCTAAAATTAGACGGTTGGAGAAGTAAACCGTTGACAGAAACTTGAAAAACGTAGAACTCAATCAAAATTAGCAATCAAATCAAAGGAATTCACCATCAATGTTGCTAAAGTTGCAGAATGGCTTGAGCGTTTCCACAAAGGATAGCCCATTCTTGAGGAAAGTCTCTTCGACAAGAGGCGTACAGAGAACCATAACCACAGGACTGACTTCCTCCAAGAGCATTTTCCCAAGCGAAGAGTTCACCGGTTCCACCATTTCTCTTCCCTTTCGCCAAACTCTCTCAAATTATTCAAATATATTCACTGTGATAACACTTGTCTCTAATCCGAATTCAGGTGTGGTGGATTTTGGAGGCGATTGCGATTCAATAAGCTAGATCTCCTCGATTAAAGCCAATCAGAGCTACGACGGCAGCGTGCCGGACTTGATGTAGATAGGAAAGAAGATCTCGGTAAATGATGGAGTATGTAGAACCAAGTAAGCAATGAGTACGGCGTAATTCACCGGAAAGTGATAAGGATGATCGTGATTGGGATCGGGAGAGAGATGTAGGCGAAGTCGATTGGAGGAGCCGAGGAGAGTCAGTCGAGCGACATGGAAGACGCAAAAAAAAAAAAACAAATCTATATTTAATTTATTTATTTATGTAATTGTCCTTTTATTTATGTCAAAATTGCAATCGTGCCCATTTATTTGGAAGTAGAGAAATTTGGGCGGAAACTAAAGATAATGGTGATTTTCTCAAAAAAAAATATTGTTACATGTGTGTCTCTGAAATTATGAATTTGAGGGTGTCACAACTTGAGCTGTTATGATTCATGTAAACTTTGTGATGATTGTACAAGTAGTTATAAAAGACACAACTTGTTGCTACCAATAAATAAAAGAAAAACTGTAATTTGTAGCCATTCATTTGCTCTTTAATCCTCTTTTTCTTAGTTATGATTATTCAAAATACCAAATTTCCAATACTGGAATGGTATCCGATTATCTTGTAAGTAAACACAGACTAAAGCATAAACAAAGTGTTTTAGTAGAGCATTAACAAAGACTTAACTAAGTAGGATATTTTATCAAAGTAAAAAACAAAGACTACTAGACGACAAAAAATAAGAAAAAAAAACACAAAACAAAGACTAGATTAAGAAAAACGTTTTAAATATTTTGTCCCACACATCTTCTCGTAACTCGCAGCCAACCAAAGGAGCCCTTAATTTTTTCACACTTTCTCTCTTCTTCTGCTGTTCTCCGCCTCTCAGAGAAAACCATCTCACTCTCTCCCCTGCAATGGCCGCCACGGCGACGGCTGCATCATTGTACGCATCTCGTGTCCACTTCCAGAATCAGAACAAAGCTCATGGCTTTCCTGCAAAGACCCCCAACTCAGTGCAAGTAACTCAGATCATCGATGGGAGGAAGACGAGGAATGTCACTGTTCTCGCCGCTGCTTCCACTGATAAAGCCGTCACAGCTGCTCAGTCTGTAGCTCCGAAGGCTAGTGATAGGTGCGTTTCTGTCAAAAAGCTTTTTTTGTTGATTTTCGTGAATGGGTTGAGATAAATGAGTCTCCTTTCACTTTGGTTTTCTATAAATTGAGATAGGTTCTTCTTCCCTTTCTATGCCTCACCTTCCAATTTCTACAATTGTTGTTGTTTATCATTTTTCTTATTAGTATTTTGTTTCTTTTGGCATATCGTGAATGTTGGATACTAAAAGTTGAAGCTTTGCTTTTCGGTATTAGTGTAGATCCACCCTTTTTCTGTATTGGAGTCAAAAATTCTGGTCCACATCAAAGAATATTCGCTCCTCTTTCTTCTCCATGAACAGTGAAATTTGAATCGTTGTTTTTTCTTCATCTCGAGGTTTTGCTAATCTGGGCAACAAGTTTTCTGATAATCTCACCAACTAATTTACAGAGTAAGGAGGCATACAATCTCGGTGTTTGTGGGTGATGAGAGCGGTATAATAAACCGGATAGCTGGAGTGTTTGCTAGAAGGGGGTATAATATTGAGTCCCTTGCCGTGGGATTGAATGAAGACAAGGCTCTGTTTACTATTGTTGTTCTTGGGACAGACAAAGTCCTCCAACAAGTCGTGGAACAGCTTAACAAACTCGTCAATGTCATCAAGGTTTTCATGTTGTTCTCTTATTAACTTCATTCTTTGCTACTTTGGTTAACAATTTCCTTAGAGCTTAGCCTGCAACAGGAGATGTCTATTGTTTCCTATGACATTAATCTTGGACTCTCATTATGGTCTGCTCAGGTGGAAGATCTCTCCAAGGAGCCGCATGTAGAACGTGAACTAATGCTCATTAAACTTAATGCTGATCCAAGCACTCGCTCAGAGGTAAATAATAGTTGATATTTGCAAGAAGGAACTACACTCGAACTTAGTTCTAAAAATTGGGTGGATGGTCAAAGTTGGTTTTTTTCGGTATGATTAATGCTTTCACATTGAAAAATGTCAAGGACATGGATCAAAGGAAGCTTTTATTCTTTATGATTCATTGAGTCACGGTAAGGAGTCTTTTCTATTTTCTTATGATTAGTGAAATCACATTAAAATCTCAAGGATATAGATGAGAAGATGTTTTCTTCCATGTTTGAATGGAGTCACAATAAAGGGGCTTTCTTCTACTTATGATTAGGCGCTTCCCATTAAAATCTATAGATTAGGCTATGTTATAAAAAGGTTTTTTAATGAAGTTTCCATTTACTACAGATCATGTGGTTGGTGGATATCTTTAGAGCAAAAATCGTGGATACCTCGGAGCACTCTCTAACAATTGAGGTAAGATTTTTCTTCAATTTACATGTATTCAGATCATATGCTCAATATGGTTCTAATAAGTCCCATTTTTCATTTCTTAGGTAACTGGAGACCCAGGAAAATTGGTTGCACTTGAGACAAACTTGGAGAAGTTTGGAATAAGAGAAATTGCGAGAACAGGGAAGGTAAGCTTCTGAAATGTCAAAAGCAAACATTATTTTCTCCATTCCTTTTTAATTGTCAACCACATCTGGCACTAAATGTCTACATATACATATGTCTTGAAAAAGCTTGCTTAAAAGGTTGGACTCACATGCATCATGACTTGTAGCCTTTATTTTTTAAAATTTTATTTTGTCTATTATGTTACCATGGAAGAGTCGGAAGTTCCTTTGCTAAGTCTCCGGATAGGCACAGAGCCAAAGTCACCTGCAACTCCCAGTTTAGCTAAATGACATGTTCACATCTTAAAAGAGTTGTCATTAATCTCAATATGAAATATTAACTTTCCATGTAAATGACATGTTCACATCTCAAAAGAAATCTCATTAATCTCAGTTTCTTTGTTTTAGTGACTATGATGAATAAACTCAAGAAATCATTAGAAATCATTTCTTTTAATTCATAACTGTTGTTGAATATTACTGGTTACCTCTAGATTGCTCTGAGACGGGAAAAGATGGGAGACACTGCTCCGTTCTGGAGATTTTCAGCGGCATCATACCCACATCATATTCAGGAGTCTCATGAAAATGTTGCAGAGCAAAGAAAGCTAGCATTGACTGGAAATGGCAATGCATCATCGGGGGTATAGGAAATAATAGCTAATTTATTTTCTCCCTGTACATATCTAAGCGTCAGTCGATTGATCAGGATCAGCTAATACTTTATTTTAGGGTGACGTTTATCCAGTGGAGCCCTATCATGATTTCAAACCGGTCCTTGACGCTCATTGGGGAATGGTCTATGACGAAGATGTAAGATACATTTTTCGGTTACTGCATTCGTTTTATATTATTTTCTTGTTGATCCAGTATATTCTGAGAAATTGGATGAAAATATGAACGGTAAAACTGTTTTACTTATTGCAGTCAAGCGGAATCCGCTCCCACACGTTATCTATACTTGTAGCCAACGTACCCGGAGTTCTCAATCTAATAACCGGAGCTATCTCTAGGAGAGGTTACAACATCCAGGTTATTATGCACACATGCTTGTTTTTATTTATGTGAATGCCTACTTGCTCTCTACGTTTCTGTCAAGAGTATTAAAAAGTTGTCACTTTTATTGCTCTAGAGTCTAGCTGTTGGTCCTGCTGAGAAAGAAGGCTTATCTCGGATTACAACAGTTATCCCTGGAACTGATGATCATATTGACAAATTGGTTAGGCAGCTTCAGAAGTTGATTGATCTTCACGAGGTTAGCAAATGGTTCGAAACCTTAGTAGTTTGGTTTTCATTTTGTAGGTCTAGTAACGTTTTCCTTTCATTGAGTTTTCTAGGTCCAAAATATTACCCACATGCCATTTGCGGAGCGAGAACTGATGCTCATCAAAGTAGCTGCTCATACTTCTGCGAGGAGAGATGTTCTAGATATTGCTCAAGTTTTCCGTGCTAAAGCCATTGATGTCTCTGATCATACTATCACTCTTGAGGTGCTGATATCACATCTCCCTAAAAAGCTGGAACCTTTGTGATATCACATCTAGTAGCTGATAAAATCATCGATTTGCAGGTTACGGGGGATCTCAGAAAAATGGCTGCACTACAAACGCAGTTAGAGGTCTATGGACTCTGTGAGGTAACTAAACAAAGTTTTTTTCTCTCGTCTCTTGACAGACACAATTGCTAATGCGTTTGAAACTTGATTTGGTGATTCCTATGGTTTGTGTTTTTACGAATTGAAGGTGGCTCGGACTGGAAGAGTGGCATTGGTAAGAGAATCTGGAGTGGATTCGACTTATCTCCGTGGATACTCTCTTCCTTTGTAGTTCCAAAGGTTAGTGATCTCTTTAACAATCAGTAATGAGCCGACAAAAAATAAAAATAAACAATCAATAATGCACCATTGTCGTTTTGCATCACCATCTGAGTTGTATATCAACGGATCTTCTCGTGCAGAGGCCTTGCCACAAGCTTCACTGTTCCTGTAAACTAGTCACGGACTGCAAGTTGTCTCAGCGTCTGTGATTGATTGCTTTCTCACAGAGTGATGGCGTCTTGAGTTGTTATAGGAGGACTTATTTAGAGAACTAAAAATAAATAATCATGTGTTGTTTGGATAGCTTTGAATGCTTTTCTCAAATGTAAAACACTACTTCTAGTTTGTCAGATATTAGTAGCTTTCACAGACTTGTATAATTTGGTGGCAAAGGAAAATAAAAAATTAACGAATTGTGGAGACATGCTTTGCATACCATCGATCTTAATTAGACTAATTAAGTTATAACCGGACCGGCTTGTTTCTGGTTAGAGTCCTCCTTGCGAACACAGAAAACAGGGGCAAAGTTGTAAAATACGGAAAACGTTTTAATTCTCGTCGTCTTTCTTCGCAGCAATGGCAGAAACTAAAAAATTAGATCTTAATTCAGAGGATTCTACTTCTGAATCTGAGGCAAAGCATTTCCAGATCCGAGATCAGATCTGTTTTGTTGTTTCTCTTCTTCTTCAGTCAGTGGAAGCTATGATGTACTGACTGCTCGAGAGAATAGACACGAAGGCACGCTCGAGTAACCATGAGAATGTCATCGGCTTCCACCGGGGAATACCGTCCTGCCGCCGTGAGTCTCGGCAGTGGCGGAGGTGGTCAACGAGATGCTGAGTCTCTGTTTCGTACGAAGCCAATGTCAGAGATTCGAAATGTGGAGTCGGCGACTAGGAAGAACATCGAGGATAAGAAAGAAGAGCTTCGGCAACTTGTGGGCACTAGGTACCGTGATCTAATCGACTCAGCTGACTCGATTGTGCATATGAAGTCGCTGTGTGAGTCGATCTCGACCAATATATCTTCGATCCACGGTAACATTCGATCGCTTTCATCTTCTTCTGTAGCGGAAACACCTAAGCTCGCTAGCCCCAACCCAGCCCGAGTCAATGTCTATGGGATCGCTTGTCGTGTTAAGTATCTGGTGGATACACCGGAGAATATTTGGGGATGCCTTGACGAGTCCATGTTTCTAGAGGCTGCGGGGCGGTACATGCGTGCTCAGCATGTGCAGCAGAGACTGATCAAGTTGGAAGGATGTGGCGGTGGTGGTGCAGCTGAGGTAGATCAGAGTAAGCTGTTGGCGAATTTTCCACTATTAGAACACCAATGGCAGATAGTAGAGAGTTTTAAGGCTCAGATTTCGCAGAGAAGCCATGAGCGGCTTCTGGATTCAGGTTTAGGACTGGGAGCTTATGTCGACGCCTTAACTGCCGTAGCGGTGGTTGATGAGCTTGATCCAGAGCAAGTGCTTGAGTTGTTTCTAGACTCGAGGAAGACTTGGATTCTACAAAAGTTAAATGCTTGTACTGGTGAGGATGCTGGTGATGTCGTTTCTGTGTTTTGTGATGTGTTAAGTGTGATTCAGGTTACAGTAGGACAAGTTGGGGAACTCTTCTTGCAAGCCTTGACTGATATGCCTCTATTTTATAAAACAATCTTGAGTACCCCTCCAGCTTCTCAACTGTTTGGTGGAATTCCGAATCCAGAGGAGGAGGTTGGGTTGTGGAAATCCTTCAGAGATATGTTGGAATCCGTCATGGTCATCCTTGATAAAAATGACATTTCTAAGGCTTGTCTGACTTGGTTGAAGGAATGCGGTGGACAGATTGTCGGTAAGGTTACTGGGAAGCATTTGATTGAAGCTATAGTTACTGGCGCGGAGCTTGGATCAGCCGAAAAGTTAATAAGGGAAACCATGGATAGCAAAGATGTCTTGAGGGGTAGTTTGGATTGGCTTAAAAGCGTTTTCGGGTCTGAGGTAGAGCTGCCTTGGAATAGAATCCGAGAGCTTGTTCTGGCAGATGATTTGAACCTATGGGATGAAATATTTGAGAAGGCCTTTGTGGAAAGAATGAAATCTATTATCGACTCCAGATTTGAGGATTTGGCTAAAGCTGTCAATGTAGCAGATTCGATTCATGCTTATAGCGAAATTACTGGTGAGAAAATCAACTTCCAAGCATACTTAAACAGACCTTCTACAGGGGGTGGTGTCTGGTTCATTGAGCCTAATGCAAAGAAAGTTGGTCTTATTTCCGGAAATAAATCATCACCCGAAGAAAGCGACTTTCAAAGTTGTCTAACTGCGTACTTTGGTCCTGAAGTTAGCCAAATGAGAGATGCAGTGGACAGGCGCTGCCAGAGTGTTTTGGAAGATCTCCTAAACTTCTTCGAGTCAGAAAAGGCAGGTCCAAGGTTAAAGGATCTTGCTCCATACGTGCAGAGTAAGTGTTATGACAGTGTCTCTGCACTTCTTGCAGATGTAGATAAAGAACTCGAATTTCTCTATGCTGCCGCAAAGAAAGAGAACAAGGACAGTGAAGCTATGCCACCTGCTATAATAATTGAGAAATCTCTTTTTATGGGACGCCTTTTGTTTGCATTGCTGAACCATTCAAAACATGTTCCTTTGATTCTTGGATCTCCAAGATTGTGGTGTAGAGAAACTATGACTACAGTTTCTGATAAATTATCATCCTTGTTGAGGCAGCCAACGTTTGGCTCTATTACTACAGTCACTGCTGACAGCCCTGGAAAGCAATTGCATGCCGATCTTAGAAAGCAGACTTCATTAGCTGTTGCTGCATTACTGGGAGCGGAAGAGAAGACAAGTCCAAAATTTGAAGAGCTTAATAGAACTATGCGAGATCTGTGCATCAAGGCTCATACATTGTGGATACAGTGGTTATCTGATGAGCTGTCAACTATTCTCTTGCGTGATCTTAGGAGTGATGATGGATTGTCTGCCACAACTCCTTTAAGGGTAACTAAATATGATCTTTATCCTTTGTCTGCATTTCCTTGTCTTTGAATTCGTTCTGCTTAGCTGTCTCCTCTGCATTGATTTAGAAAGAGCTGACTAAATCGACAGAGGTAGTTAGTTTGCTTAGGTCCTATGTTCAAATTCTTTGTTTTTGGTAGAGATAATTCTGAATTATTCTGTTTCTTTGAAGTTGTAGTGCAATAGTTTACACTTCCTCTTGCATTTCAATAGCCATATGCACGATTAATTTTGTAGTGTCTTTACTCATCCTTAAGAATGATATAGGGATGGGAAGAGACAATAGTGAAGCAAGAGCAGGACGAGAATCAATCTGAGTTGAAGATATCACTTCCATCCTTGCCTTCACTCTATATGATTTCATTTCTTTGTCGGGCATCAGAAGAAATTCATCGAATTGGAGGTCACGTACTGGATAAGTCAATCTTGCAAAAATTTGCTTCAAGCCTGTTGGAGAAGGTGCGTCATCTCTGATTACTTCTTCTCTTTTTTCATCTACTACAGATATTACTGGCAAGAAAAGGTTTCTCTTCAAAATGTTCGTAGCTGTTTGATAAATTTTGTTTCCTATTCACACTTTTTTCACTTTCATCTGTAAACATATCCAAGCTAGTGATTGCTGATAAGAATGATTTTTCCAACCTTCCATTGTACAATGCAGATCACCATTATTTATGAGGATTTCTTATCTGCCAGGGAGGCCAACGAACCCCAAATTTCAGAGAAAGGAGTTTTACAAATTTTGCTGGATTTGAGATTTGCATCTGACGTTCTTTCTGGGGGTGATACAAGTACCAATGTGGAGACACCAAAGACCACAATTAATAGATCGGCTTACAGGCGAAAACAGGACCAACAAAAAATAAAGTCAGTCAATAGAGGTCGAATTGATGGAGTGACCTCCCAACTAACGCAAAAGTTGGATCCCATAGACTGGCTCACGTAAGAAATCTTATCCCTAATGTTTACCTTTGTCAATTATCTTTACTATTTTGGCTGTTGTAAGAAGCTCCTGGCCTGGGAATATCGGCTTGGTGTTTCTTGTCACAATATTTCTCTGATTCTAGTATTTTGAATATCAAAAAAGGTACGAGCCTTATCTTTGGGAGAACGAAAAGCAGTCATACCTACGCCATGCTGTACTCTTTGGTTTCTTTGTGCAACTAAACCGAATGTACACAGATACTGCGCAGAAATTACCAACTAATTCGGAATCAAATATCATGCCATGTTCCACAGTTCCTCGCTTCAAATACCTTCCCATAAGGTTAGATTTTCTTCTTCTATATCTAACATTATTTGTAGCTTTTGATATCAGAAGTCTTCTTCTATATCTAACATTGTTTGTCAATGCAGCGCTCCCGCTCTGTCTTCTAGAAGTACAAATAAGGTCTCTATTCCAGTTACATCAAATGATGCTTCGTCAAGAAACTCATGGAAGGCATTTACAAACAGCGAGCAATCTCAAACAAATGATTCGGAAGAAAATTCCAATTTTGGCGTGGCTTTCAAGTCTTTCATGCAGGTAAAGGTTTAGTGTTCGGTTGATTAATGGCGACAATGTTGTCATCTTGTTTAGTATCTTATATTCTTATACCATGTACAAATTGCTTTTAGGGAAGCACATTGAAACTGGGATCAATATTAACCGATGGACAAGTGGGAATATTCAAGGATAGATCAGCAGCCGCTATGTCGACATTTGGTGATATACTACCGGCTCAAGCAGCCGGTTTACTCTCTTCTTTCACAAACACCAGGTCCGAGTGATGATCACCAGTTTTGAGACTAAATCGTCATTTCCACCAAGATATCTGCTGTCGATTTATGATTCACACAGAAGATATGAAGAAGCTGATTTGAGACATGGACCGTAAACTAGATATATCTTCTTTGCTATACAAGTTTTACAAAAACGAAGAGAACATGTTTTGTAATAGGTTTTGATTTATTGTTTCTTATATGCTTCTTTTATAAGGAACATGTAATTAAGTAAAAAAGGAGATTTGGTTCAACAAAATCCTCAAGACCAATTACAATCAAGCCTCACACGTTGAGTGACCAGAGAAATAAGTCAAAGGTTTGCTACATATAACCACGGTATTCAGATCGCTAAAACATCTGATTTCCATCAAGTTAATATCCAGCCAAAGCAGATTTAGGGGTTACACTTAGCCTTATCAATGAGAGGTTTCAGCTTCTTCTTGTCAGCAAGAATCTTAAGGAAATTGAAGAGGAAAGGGACATAGTCGTGTTTCCTTCTCATGTTCTCTTTCTTCCAGTTCTTAGACTTCTCCTCCTCCATTACAATCTTCTGTGAAACGGTCTCTATCCCGATATTGACTTCAGAAAGAGATCTATCGAGAGCCTCATAACTGCTTTTCTCAGCGTATTTATCAGCTTGCAAACCACCTAACTGCTGCAAAATCCTCTCTCGCTGTCTCTGATACTCTTTCAGTTCAGCTACATACAGCTCTTTCCTGTTCTTAACTACAGCTAAGAGACTAAACCGAATCCCATTCTGCGAATACCGGTTAATCCGCTCTTGTACCACAGGTTGGACCATTCTGAGCCACTCGATTCCTTCTGGCTCACCCAGACACTGTCCAAGACTAATGGGTCCTTCTTTTAGACCATCGAGCTCATATATGATACCATCAACAGGTAAGTAGCTGATGTAATGATATAGATAATCATCTTCGTCTACATTTTTCGCAGCAGCTAATTCCTCTTCTTCCATGTTGGAAGATGGGTCAGGCCTGGCAAATGAGTTGTGAGCTGCACGTATCGCCTCATTGTTGTTGATGGCTAAACCTTTCAGTTCAGGTGGAAACTCTTTGGCGAATTCTTTCAGTTCTGATAGTTCTGAGCCAATATCGATACTCGAAGAGTTCATGAGAACCGATAACAACGCTTGGGTCGCACAAGCATTGTTGATTATCTGCAAGAAATACATAGTTTAACAAATTTGCACATTAAGTCAGAAATCTAATGTGACAGTGAGTGACCTGGCTTGCAAAGAAGAAATTCGGGTTTGGTTCCATGATGACAACACGGTTCTCCTTTTCATCTGGTCGCCACTTGTAAAGCAATATCAATCCATATACAGGTCTGCAAGTGTTCAGGACAGAAAATATCAAAAATAAACGAACCCAGTTGTATGAATAATTTTTTATATATTCGAAACAAGAAAGATGAAAAGAGTAACTAGTGAACAACCTTATTTCATCAAGCGAATTAATGTCCAAGGAATACAATTCCTCAACCTGCACACCTTTCACTTGCATTTGTTGTATAATCTCAGTGAAAACACCTAAACATATAATACAGAAAATGAAATGAATATAGCCATATAGAGAAAAACAGACACTGTCCACTTAGTATAAGACCAACCATTGTCGATAAAATGAGTACAAAACGCATCACTACTTTCACATTACAATCCTCACACACACTACGAATCCATTAAGAATACTCTCTTTTCAACATTGTTGGCTTCTAATGACCAAAAACATTATCTGCTTTTTTGAGCTCTATAATCACAAACAATCAAAAAACCGAGCTTCGTTTCCGACATCAACAACTTAGTAAATCGAATTCAAACTATGAACAATTACCAACGGACTTTACGAATTGAAAAAAAAAAAAAACAAAAAAAAACCCAAATTAGAGGAGAGAAACTAAACCAGGATCAGATTCTACAGGAAGCCAAGACATGATTCAACGATGACTCGCGCCGGTTAAAACGGGACTGAACTAAGTGATTAGGTTTCACTCGCAAATTCGCTAATCTCCTCCCTTCGATTTCATCGTCTTCACGGTAGCTGCTGACTCAAAGAGACTGGTGTAGTCTCGTTTTTGTCTTAATCAACAAAAGTCGCTTCTTAACCGAATCGAAACCGTGATTGAATTATCCTATACCATTTGAATTTATATATACCGAGGTAAACCGAACCAGAGTCAAGTGGAAGAATTAGAAAACAGCAAGTCTAAATTTTACTAGAAAAAAGTAAATATCGAACCGAACCAATAATGTCAAACTCTTATATGGCTATGATCGCCGGCGAAAGTAATTGAAATCTAACAATGACGGCGAGTGAGAATATCGCCGCCGCGATTAATCAAATTGATGAGAAGAAGGAGAAGCTAAAGAAAGCTTTCGACGATCTTCAGTCACACAGATCCCTCCTTTCACCTTCTTTCTCTCTTTCCTGGTCTGAGATCGACTCTCACTTTTCCTCTCTCCAATCCTCCCTCTCTAACCGATTCCGCCTCCTCCAGTCTGCAACGTCTTCGGAAGATGAATCGTGTAGACTCGATACTTCGGAGGCAGGGGAATCGTCGGAGAGGGTAGCGGAGGAATCCGCTGTTGAGCCGGAGTTGAGAACGTTGTGTGAGAAGAATGACGGAATTGGTTTGATCACGTATTTGATTCGTTGTTGGGATGATGATGCGCCTCTTAATCTGGAGGTTTCTGCAGCGATTCGCTACTCTCACAATCCGGCATCAATGGTGGTTGACGCAATCGACGGTTTCAACCAGAAGAAGCACACTCCATCGTCGTCATCGGGAAAATCATTCGATGTAAGGAGAATCTTCGTTTTGTTAATGGAAGCTTTGATTGAGATCAATGCAGATATCACGGATGATACGAGAAAGAGAGCTAAGAAACTGGCTTACGGTTGGAAAACGAAGATAGATACTAAGCCTTTTGAGGCGTTAGTGTTTTTGCATTTAGTCGCAGCTTTCGAGTTAGGATCTGAGTTTGCCTCAGAGGAGCTTTCGGGTTACGTTTTCATGATCGCTAGGTACAGGCAAGCAACTTCTGTGTGTAACAAGATTGATTTAGGCAGCGAAATAGTTGGAAAACTAATCAGGAAACTCTTGGATTCTGGTAAGCCAATCTTGGCAGTCAGATTCATGTATGAGTGTGGGATGACTGATGGATTCGAACCAATCCCTGTTTTGAAATCTTACATTAAGGATTCGAGAGAAGCTGCTCTTAGAGTTTGCACAGAAGATAACTACTCTCTCAGGTCACAGAACGAAGCCATCGATAAAGAACTCAGTGCATTGAAAGCAGCGATCAAAATCATCAAAGATCAAAACCTTGAATCCGAGTTTACTCAGGAGAAAGTTGAGGAGCGTGTAGAGGAGCTGGAGAAATACAAGGCGCTGAGGAAACGCAATGCCACTAATCCTCCCCAGCAAGAGTCACAGCAAAAGGAGAAAAAGCGGGCTCGAGACTGCAATGTGACACAAGTTTCAGCTCCGAGTCAGCAGCTACTTCCTAGACCAGAAGCTCTTCTTATGCCTGAGCATAGTCATCATGGCTTACCGTTAAACCCTTATGGTCTTATGACCTCAGCATATACTGGTGTTGTTGTGAACCCATTAGCTGGGCTCCTTGGTTCAGCTGCAACTCCTCAGCCTATTTACTTTGCTCAACAAACTGGATTGGTGTTGCCGCTCCAATACCAACCACCTTATTATTCTCAGTAGCAGCATATGAACCTTCAGATGTTAATCTCCTCAATGCAAAATGCAGTTGTAGATTATAGTCGGACTCTGGACTTGTCTGGTGTAAATTTAGGATTTTCATTTTGTGTGATGAAAACTAAAACATAAAAATCAACAGCTCTTTTTGTGATACATAAGAAGGTTCTGGAAACAAAAGATTAAGAAAAGTCCCCGCGTAATTCTTGTCGGATGCATATGCCATAGATTCATTCGCTATAAGCTCCGTTCTGCTAAGTATCTTAGGCAAACTTGGTATCACATATTGGTGTAGGCAATATGTCAAATAGCAGATGGGGAAGAGCAATGTAGTCGAGATAAGCATCTGAGCATGAAGAAGAGCTCTTGAAATGGATCACATGTGAAATCGATTTTGCTCACTAACGACAGTAGTGTAATCGTTCATATTTCCTCCGAAGCATCATCATAAACAAAAGAATTGGCGGTAGATTTGAAAACCGAGATAACTTTGGTTGGATTCAGCTTTATCCGAGTCTAGAAAATAGATCAATTCTTGGAAAAATAATGTTATTAAACTGTATCTTCCACTTGACAAATAGTTAAAACACAATTACAGTTTTCACAATACAGACAAAGCAACAGAGGCATAATCCCCCTTATTAGTCATCAAACAACCATAGTGATAAGTCTAACACGACTTCTTGTTCTCCCCGGATCTGCCTTCCATGACTTCAATAATGGAAACAAGCCTTTCCACAGGAACTTTAGTTGCGTCGGATCTGATACCGATGTCAGAACGTAAGCGATCAAGACAGTACTTACCACCCGCTATGGTCCCTACCAACACCACACCACCGACACCTGTCACTGCATATCCAAGTGTTGAAGTAACCACCGAAGCTGCTCTACCAGTCTTCACCATCCCGAAAAGGCCGATTGCCCAAGAAACAGCATCGCCTGCTACAGAAGCTGAAGTGGCTTGACCACTACTTCCCAGCTTGATCTTTGACATGACAACCAAACCAGTTTTGCAATAGGTAGCAAAATCTTCACAATTGTTCTCAAACAAATGGTAAGCACCAAACCCATTTCGCAGTAAGAGGAACTCCGCACGGGAAATGACTTCATCGCAAGGACCTGAAATTGCTGTAGTGCAAGTACCTCGTTGTTTGGCGAGAAAGAAAGCTGGAGAGACACCGTATTCGAAGAGATAAAGGTTTCCCCCGGCGAGAAAGCAATCAAGGCAAGAAGAGATAACACCGTCGAGGTTGGATAGATCTCCACACTTAGGACACGGGTTGTTGTCTCCTCCATGATTCGGAACTGAGCTAGTGAAGAACTTGTCCAGGATAGTCCCTGTTCCGGTTTCGAGACCACCACCTCGAGTGAAATGTATCACCCTCTCATCACCTACATAGATTCCTGCCAAATAGCAAACAGAGAAACTCGTGTTTATGAAAAGAAAAGAAGCAAAAAAAAAACCCAAAATTTGGAATCTTTCGATAAACCCAGAAAAATAGCTGTAAATGCAAAAAATATAACAGGCATTCCTACGAAATTGTGTTATGAAACAACCCAAAAAAAATGTAACCTTTGATAAACCCAGGAGTTAACTAAGATCTGAGCATGAAAGGTAATGGATCTAACATAGTTAAAAGAGAGCGAGAGAAGGAGATGGAACCGTGATGAGAGTAGATGTAAGCGGTACGCCATGAGTAGATGTGATCTCCTGGCTTCAGATCATCTCTGGGGATTTGGTTGGACAGTAATCCCATGGTCGACCAAGCTCTTGATTTTGCTTAACGATTAGGGTTTTTTCTGATTCTCTCCTTTCTTTTTTTTCTTTTCCCCCAAAATGTCTGAGAGAGAGCTTTTTTAGTTCACTCCACTTGTCCGTATTTTAAATAAAACTCGGCAAAAAATACAAATACTGTATCTCTCTCTCCATACAAAAACAAAAACTTTGCAAAGTGACCTCTGCAATATACACTATTTGGTAACTAAAACAACCCTCAAACGCTCAAAACTACTATAATCCAGTTTGAGGATTGTTTTGTTTAGCTTTTTAAATTAAACTTTTTTAAAAAAAAAGCACAATCCCATGCAGGCATCTACCTCCACTAGATTAACTTGAGGCTTAAATATTAATTAGTACATCATTATTAGTAAAAAGAATCCACTGCTATAATTTAATACTAGTGATATGTTTTGTGTTTTGTATAGTGGACATGTTTTCCTTCTTAATTAAGCAAGACAACATAGTCACAAAAGTTGCTTTCACCGACGAAAGAGATTGTACAAATGCATTGACATTGACATTGACCATGTCTTTTGGCTGTAAAATGCGTTTGCACAACAATAATAGAAACCCATAGCTGTTTTTAGTAATATTTTTTAGACCCGTGGTGAAAGACTCCTTGTTAGACCATCCTCAATGGTGATCCTTAACATGATCGTTAAACTACTTTTGGTTAAAATTTAATACATAATTCAACTCTATATATAAGGTACGTATGTTATATAAGGTACTAAAGGAAATCATAAAATCCATTTTTTCAATTAAACTATTAAAGAAATCATTAGATCCACTCTTAAGGATTATGCATTGAGGATGGCCTTAGTACAATGTAAACTATAATGAATTTCTCACTTCAATTTTTCCAATTTTATGAAGATAAGATGTCTTATGTTATTTTTGCATTATAATTACAATTTTTGTCTTTTAGTGATTTAACCAATGTCTTCTCCAATTACATTTTCTTTTCCGAATAACAGCAATTATATTACTTTTTTATTATATCTTTTTGTCACTAATGATTTACTAGTTATAATGTCTTTTCGAATAATGTTTGTATTATAGTTACATTCTTTTCAAATCGAAACCTCAAACCATTTTGTTATATATATATATATATAGAGGGAACACATGCATCCAATATATCGATCGAATGAAGAATGTTGATCTGAGCTCCGAATAGATGGAATACAAATCCATTGTCCATTTGCTACATATATATATATGCATGCATTCCATGAAAATTAGAACCAATGTGTGATTCGTAATTTATTGGAACGGTAGGAAAGAAGTTTAAGAAATGGTCTCATCACCCATTTTCTTTGCAATCTCCTTAAGCATAATCTTAGAAACTTTCCCCGTCGAAGACTTAGGCAACTCATCCCTAAACAACACAGTTTTAGGAACCATATACCTTGGCATCTTCTTCCTACAATACTCTATCATCTCCTCCTCCGTCGGTTTCTTACTCAGCCCATCTTTCAAACTCACAAATGCACACGGCGTCTCTCCCCAAAACTCATCAGGTCTCGCCACAACCGCCACTTCACTCACCGCCGGATTCGTATACAAAACCGCTTCAACCTCCACGCTGCTCACATTCTCTCCTCCGGTTATGATTATATCTTTGGATCTATCCTTAATCTCTAAATAACCATCCGAGTGAATCACACCAACGTCTCCGGTGTAAAACCACCCGTTCTTCAGAGCTTTCTCTGTTCCGATCGGATCTTTTAGGTAACCGAGCATGATCGAGCTTCCTTTCATCACTATTTCTCCGACGCTTTCTCCGTTCCTCTCAACGCTCCGACCTGACTCAGGATCCACTACGTCGATCTCAGTAAACCCGAGGGTTCTCACTCCTTGCCGTGCTTTCAACCTCGCCCGATCAGTCGCTGGTAACCGGTTCCACTGCGGCTTCCAGGCGCAGGAGACGATTACACCGGCCGCCTCAGTTAATCCGTAACCGTGACTGATCACGAAACCAATTGATTCTGCGCGGAGGAGCACGGCGGCTGGAGGTGGAGCACCGGCGGTTAAAATGTTGACGGGACGGTTTAACGGCTGAGATTCCTGAGTTGTGGACAACATGTTGAGCACCACTGGAGCTCCACACATGTGGGTGACGTTGTGATCACGTATCAAACGGTAGATTAACGGCGCGTCGAACTTGCGCAAACAGACGTTAGTTCCTCCGACGGCGGCTATTCCCCATGGATAACACCAACCATTAGCGTGAAACATCGGTAGAGTCCATAAGTAAACCGGGTTTTTCGGTACGGTCCAATCGATGAGAGAATCAATTGACATAACGAAGATTCCCCTGTGGCAGTGTACCACTCCTTTAGGAGCCGAAGTCGTACCGGAAGTGTAATTTAACACAATCGGATCCCATTCGCTTTCGGGTCGGATCCATTTGAAATTAGGATCACCTCTTTGGATCAGATCATCGTAAGTGTAACTGAATTTGCTGCGATCAGCCGCCACGTCAATAGCACCTCCTCTTTTTTCCTCTTCTTTATCGGCGATGAAGACTAGAACCGGCGGATGAGTCGCCGTCATCATCGAGACAGCCTCGACAGCTAGATTGCAGAAGAAGACGTCGACGAAGAGAAGCTTAGGTTCACAGTGGGCAAGAAGAACAGAGACGGTGTGTGCGTCGAGGCGAGTGTTGATGTTGTTGAGTACTGCGCCGGACATGGGAACAGCGAACTGGAGCTCGTACATCGCCGGAGTGTTGGGAGAAAGGACGGATACGACGTCGGATCTTCCGATACCGAGTGAAGACAGGGATGAGGCGACGCGGAGGCAGCGGAGGTTTGTATCCCGCCACGTGTAAGAGGTGTTGCTTCCGTAAACGATGGAGGTACAGTCACCGTAAACAGTGGCGGCTCTCTCTAAGAAGCCTAACGGCGTCAACGGCGGCGAGTTAGCGGAGCAAGGCTTCATTAGCTCCATCTCTTCTCGAGTGGCCAAGAGAGTCTACTCTTTCTCTCATTTAAATTAAAAGTGTCTCTCTGTGACTACTTAGCCATACCGACGACAGTAGCGGTGGGCAATTTTTTACTGAATGAATTAAAAAAGGTAATTAATAATATGTGCTTCGGGCTCGACAATATTAATTTTAATCACACGATCAGTCCATGTCTGCATTCGTGGAAGACGTAAACACCTCTAATCTTCAAATCAAGGAACCTAAACTTTCTAATTCATTTTAAAATTTTATTCGACTAATCTTTTTCTAATTAAAGAAAGTGATTTAAGCTGGGGTGTTCTCAAATGGAGGTGACACTACTTTCTAAATTTTTAAATTTATGGTTTTAATCAAGCAAAACACTGTACAAATACAGTATATGAAAAACACTATGCATGGTAATATGGTATTCCATAAATACAATTCTTTCTCCAACGAGAAAACTGAAAATGAATCCAAACGCAAAAGACTTACTCACCAAAAGTGGACAAATTAAACCCACACGACACACACAAAAAAACCCACACGACACGACAAAAAAAAAAAAAAAAAAAAACCCCTAAAAAATATGTTGGATGATAAATAATCATACAAACTATTAGTTGGAAGTTAATTATCTTTCACTTTCTGACAGCATGCCATTTAAATGTGGGCATATGTGAGTTGTACTCTTAATTTGTAAGAAGTAATAAGAACCACTTTATAAAATATACGTAATAAATGAGAGAGCATCTAAGACCAACCGGACAATTAATGGCGAAGGAGGAGGAGGAGCCGATCAGCTCTTTTGGTGCGTGTATTCCAGTCTCCCCCAATAAACTATTGTGCCTTACGTGATCACCATCATGGCTTTCAAAACGATGATTAATGCTGGCTTTCCTTGTTCTTGATGCCTTGAACCATATAATGTCTACAATTATGATACCTCTCGTTTCTCAAGCAAAATGGTACCCGACATACACACACACACACACGTTCCTATACAGATCGTTTTATCTGATGAGTGAAAGAGTATTCTCTAGGTGTCATATATTATATATGTTACATGTATAAGAAGTAGCTAGATGATCAATAAATAGACAAGCGAAAAGAAAGCAACCTTGATAATGTATAATATTACTCTGAAGCGCCTACTTCTGTTCTTACTCATTTCCAGCCAAGAGAAGAAGTACGTGGCTTCTCTCTTCTTCTACCTGCATGCAACTTGCTCAATATATCATTCATGGCTATGCACCGGGAGTTACAATCTTCTTGGACACAGAAGGAATTGAAGAAGCTTAATTAATTATTCGTACCAAAGGGAATAAAAGAAACCATATATCAAATCTGAAGTATGAGGTAATAAAACATATCACGTATTTTTGTTGAATTTCAATTTTTCTAACCAGCAATGTATATGATGCATGGGTTGGCAGATCAACCAAACGTACTCGTCGTGGGTCATACCGGATTTTATTAAAAGCACTGTAGTTTCTATATTTATCTTTTGATTCATTTAATTCTCAATCAAATCAAACTCTTCCTGTATTTTTTGTTAGCTGTTGGAAGCCAATAATACTAAACAAACATTACAGACCAAAAAAAGAGAGTCACATTAAAGACCACTTATGGACAAACTTTATAAATAGCGTCGGGAAGAGAAAGAAGAGATATGCACATATCTAAGAGCAACGGGAAAAAAAATGAAGAATAAGCCGGAGGAGGAGGAGGAGCCGCTCAGCCCGATGGCGCGTGTATTCCAGTCGCCAGTCGTCGACATATGTGCCATCATCGACTTTGGTTTCAAAACCAAGATCAATCCTGACGTTGTTCTTGATGCTCTGAGGCATAATGTCTACAAACATCCTCGTTTCTCCAGCAAACTGGTAACCCACTCTTTATACATATGTATGCCACACTTTCTTATACTTTTTAATTAGTTATTTTCCATCACTTGTATGTGTTCAAACATATTGATTTTTAGTTTTATAGAATTCAATTATTCTTTAAAGGGCTATACATAAATAAATTGAATTGGAAAAATAAATGAATTATATTTATGTTTTTTTTTGTTGATATATACATTTTTCTATAGATAAATCCTACTTGGGATTTGCGTCAAATCACTTGGTGTCTATCTGTCTTATTGTAATATATATAGTCTGAAAATGGTGCAAAATGGATCGAGACCGAAGTCAATGTAGAAGATCATGTCATCGTACCATACATAGATCCAGAAGAGATAGGTGAAAGTGGACAAAGCTTCGTCGATGATTATATCTCACGTCTCACGACGATGCCTCTTGATAGATCAAGGCCTTTGTGGGACATTCACATCCTTAACGTCAAAACCACTGACGCTGAAGCAGTCGGTGTGTTAAGGTTTAACCATGCGTTGGCAGATGGAATGTCTTTTTTCTCCCTCGTGCTCGCATGTACCCACAAGACATCAAATCCAGACGTGTTGTCTACTTCTAATCCTTCCGTGAAACGGCGAACCACGATGCCGCATAACGTCGAGAAAACTGGCTGGTTCCCAAGGACGATGTTCACCATTGGTTCTACAATGAGACTGATTTGGAATACGTTTGTAGATTTGCTGTTGCTTTCTGCGACAATGTTGTTTTTGAAGGACACTAAAACGCCACTGACAGGCGGTGTTGATGTCAGGACCAATCCAAAGAGATTTTATCACCGAAATATCTCTCTAGATGACGTTAAACTTATCAAGAATGCTATGAACATGGTACGTTGTGATTTATGTCCATATATAAATCACTTGAGGCTCTTACCTTTTTAATGGATTGCATATATGTTGTTGTTATTAGACTATCAACGATGTTCTACTCGGAATTACACAAGCCGCTCTGTCTAGCTATATGAACCGACGATATGGTAAATCTTACATTCAATATATAGGATGTAGCATTAAGAGTTCTAATGATTACTTACAATGAATACACTAACCAGAAGTTTATTCTAAAACAATGAAAAGAAGATGCTTACATGATTGATCATGGTAAACCTTGCAGAACAAGACAAGAAAAATGAGAAGGATGGGGCATTATTGACTCCATTTCCGAACAATCTTCCAGATGGAATACGATTTCGTGCAGGTTGTACAGTAAATCTAAGGTCAGACATCGGGTTCAAGGTTAGAAAAATGCATACTCCTCAAGTTATGTAATTTAACACTTGAATTCTCAACAAACAAAAGTTACTTATACATATTAATATTTTTCTGCATAAAGCCATTGGCAGAAATGATGGCCAAGGATTCAAAGTGCAAATGGGGAAACTATTTTAGCTTTATTATTTTGCCGTTATCAATTGGTTTGGAGACTGATCCGTTGGTTTACCTAAAAAAAGCCAAAGCTATGATGGCTCGAAAGAAGCACTCTTATCATGCACCTCTAGTGTATTTCTTTATCAAAATCATCCTGAAAGTGTTTGGAGCCAAGGTAAACAAAATTGAGATTTGATTGCATTTTTATGGACAGTATATATATTATTCATGTAACGCACTTTGGCCATTATATATAGGCAGCAGCATCAGTATTCAATCAGTATGTGATGAACATAACAACTTGTGTTTCAAATGTTATGGGACCTATGGAAGAAGTCAGTTTCCATGGCCATCCCATCGCTTACATTTCTCCAAGCTCTTATGGACACTCACAGGTACGCGTTTTTTCTTGTTGTTGGCTAATTTAGTTTAATGGCAAGAGCTTTCTTTTTTTTATTTCATATATTGTTTCTTGTTTTTGTGTGTTTGATAGGCATTGTTGGTACATTACACAAGTTATGCGGGGGAAATGACAATCACGATGATGGTTGATCCTACTGTAATACCGGACCCTCACAAGATTTGTGATGATATGGAAGAATCACTGAAAACAATCAAAGCTGCTCTCTGGGAAAGAGGGTTACTCTAAGGCGCATGAGACCTATTACTAGATATAATCCTTAAATGGAGTCAGAAATAAATGTAGGGGTCAGTCCAAGTAATGAAAAAATAAGTTTCTTTTTGCTACTCGATCATGAAGTAGATTGCTGAAGGTTCAAGGAAAGGTTGTGTGGCCTTTCACAGAGAGAGCTTAGTCATTTCATGTTCACAAGTCAGAGATGTCTATGCAGGTTCTCTGAACGAATCAGTCTGATGAGTTTTGCCGTCTGCATTAAGGTGGTTTATTCAGAGACATTGAAGATTAAATTGCAGGTATTAGAACTGAATTTATAAGTTTCTCAGTCTTGAAACAAGACAGAGAAGGGAAAATCCGAGGATGCCAAGAAAGGGAATCAGATTGAGGATAGTATTCAAACCAAGGTGAAGTTTTGTAATGGTTATATAGTTTGAATCCAAGTTCTTCTTTCTTCAAATACAGGTTTTGGTTGAAAGTGAAACATCTATTTTACAAAATAGTTAAAATACAGTTTCCACAAAGCACAGAAAGCAAAATCACTCTCTCTCACATACATAATGCACAGCAAAGCGTGCTAACTAGAGATACTTGTCTTTCTCTCCAAAAGGCCTTGCTTGGCTCCAACAAATGCAACGAGCTCTTCCACAGAAACCTTGCAAGCATCTTTTCTAACACCAATGTCGTAAAACAGCCGGCCAAAACAGTAATGGCCATATTCCGCCAAGGCCAAACCACCAACACCAGGAACCACATATTTAACCGTAGAAGAAATAACCTGGTTCACAACAGAAACCACAGAATCTTCCTCGTGGCCACTAGTCTTCTTTTTAACCCCTAAGACCTTGAGTGTCAAAGAAACAACACCACCTGCTGCAGACACAGAGTTGGCCTGACCACTGCTTCCAAACTTGGTGGCCATGGATAACACAAACAAACCAGTTTTGCAATAGATGGCAAAATCTTCGCAGTTGTTGTCTAAAAGATCATACTCACCAAACCCATTTCGCAAATGGAGAAACTTTGCACGGGAAATGACTTCATCGCAAGGATCTGAAGATGCTATCGTACAAGTACCACCTCGTTTGGCTAGAAAGATGGACGGAGAGGCACTGTATTCGAAGAGATAGAGATTACCTCCCGCGAGGAAACAATCAAGACAAGAAGAGATCACACCGCCGAGATTCGATTGGTCTCCACAATCGAGACACTTGTTGTCTCTTCTTCCATGATTCGGTATCGAAATATCGATGATCTTGTCCAAAACTGTACCGGTTCCGAATTCAAGACCACCCCCACGGGTGAAATGGATTACTTTCTCATCGCCTACGTAGATTCCTGCGAAATTGCCAAAAACAAAAACAGAGTAAAAATCTAATGTTGTAATAAACCCAGAAACAAATAAATAAGATGGAGGATTAAGAGAGAGAGAGAGAGAGAGAGAGAGAGAGAGAGAGAGAGAGAGAGAGAGAGAGATGGAACCGTGATGAGAGTAGATATAAGCGTTACGCCAAGAATAGATGTGATCGCCTGGTTTCAGATCATCTCTGGTGATCTTGTGGGAGAATAATCCCATCTTCTATACCAGTTCTTAACGAAGAGACAAGACACAAGATCCGACTTTGCTTAGTGAGTTTGGTTTCTGATTTTTTTTCTTCTTTCTCTCTTCTCCAATTTCAATCCACGTCGAGGAGATAATTATTATATAATTTCTTCAACTTTTAAAAAAAAAGATAACCTTCAATTAAAGGAAACTGGAAACTAGTCATCAAAATTAATTACACAACAGCAATGAATGAGAAAATGACACGCAACGTTTGATATAAACCGAGTTATCATAAAACACGGTATTATCGCGGTGGACTAAAACTAATTACACTTTTCAATCTGTCTAATGTGATGTCTGTTTATGTTCAGTTTTCTTTGGTTTGAGTCCAAATGGAAACGGTCGACAATGGGACTTGGACAATCACACACAACAAAAAACCGTGCAAATAAAATGGGTACGCTATATTGGTCTGAATCTAAATCCTAGATAGTATTTCCTTGGCTTGGACCTTCTCAGATGAACCCAAACTAGGCATTTAAGATTGTTTTATTTTGAAAGTGAATCCGAGTTGATAGGAGTTAAATCACATCCGAGTGAGAGTAGTGGCCTATATCTTTGCTTAGAGGAAGACTTAATTTGGCAAAGGACAAGATTGTTTGGTTGCACCATACGAAATGTTACACTTGAAAGGATAAAGAATTGTACAACTCAACAAAAGCATAAAGTAAATTCACTATTCCGCACAAAGACAACGAGACGACAACATACATATGTTGGAGGTGGATAAAAACTCTCTTCTTAAAAGTGAACACACAGCTTCAACTTACGTCGTTTTCGGGCAATTTTTACATCCGACTTAACCTCGTCGTTCCCATCTTCTTAGCAATCTCCCTCAGTACAAACTTCATAACTTTCCCCGTCGAAGTCTTAGGCAATTCATCTACAAACGACACAGTTTTAGGAACCATATACCTTGGCATCTTCTTCCTACAGTACTCTATCATCTCCTCCTCCGTCGGTTTCTTACTCAGCCCTTCTTTCAAACTCACAAACGCACACGGCGTCTCTCCCCAAAACTCATCAGGTCTTGCCACCACCGCCACTTCACTCACCGCCGGATTCGTATACATAACCGCTTCGACCTCCACGCTGCTCACATTCTCTCCTCCGGTTATGATTATATCTTTTGATCTATCCTTAATCTCTAGATAACCATCCGAGTGAATCACACCAACGTCTCCGGTGTAAAACCACCCGTTCTTCAGAGCTTTCTCTGTTCCGATCGGATCTTTTAGGTAACCGAGCATGACCGAGCTTCCTTTCATCACTATTTCTCCGACGCTTTCTCCGTTCCTCTCAACGCTCCGACCTGACTCAGGATCCACTACGTCGATCTCAGTAAACCCGAGGGTTCTCACTCCTTGCCGTGCCTTCAACCTCGCCCGATCAGTCGCCGGTAACCGGTTCCACTGTGGCTTCCACGCGCAAGACACGTTTAAGCCGGCCGTTTCGGTTAACCCGTAACCGTGACTGATCACGAAACCGATTGATTCAGCGCGGAGGAGAACAGCGGCCGGAGGGGGAGCACCGGCGGTTAAAATGCTGACGGGACGGTTTAGCGGCCGAGATTCCTGAGTCGCAGACAACATGTTGAGCACCACCGGAGCTCCACACATATGCGTGACGCCGTGATCACGTATCAAGCGGTAGATTAACGGCGCGTCAAACTTACGCAAACAGACGTTGGTTCCTCCGACTGCAGCCATACCCCATGGATAGCTCCAACCGTTAGCGTGAAATATCGGTAGAGTCCATAAGTAAACCGGGTTTTTCGGTACGGTCCAATCGATTAGAGAGTCAACCGATATCATGAAGAGTCCTCTGTGGCAGTGTACCACTCCTTTGGGAGCCGAAGTCGTACCGGAAGTGTAATTTAACACAAGCGGATCCCATTCGCTTTCGGGTCGGATCCATTTGAAATTCGGATCACCTCTTTGGATCAGATCATCGTAAGTGTAATTGAATTTGCTGCGATCAGCCACGTCAGCACCTCCTCCCTCTTCTTCTTTATCGGCGATAAGGACTAAAACCGGCGGATCAGTCGTCATCATCGAGATCGCTTCGACGACGAGATCGTGAGAGAAGACGTCGACGAAGAGAAGCTTAGATCCACAGTGACGGAGAAGAACAGAGACGGTGCGTGCGTCGAGGCGAGTGTTGATGTTGTTGAGGATTGCGCCGGACATGGGAACAGCGAACTGGAGCTCGTACATCTCCGGAGTGTTGGGAGAAAGGACGGAGACGACGTCGGACTTGCCGATTCCGAGTGAAGACAGAGACGAGGCGACGCGGAGGCAGCGGAGGTTTGTATCCCGCCACGTGTAAGAGGTGTTGCTTCCGTAAACGATGGAGGTACAGTCACCGTAAACAGTGGCGGCTCTCTCTAAGAAGCCTAACGGCGTCAACGGCGGTGAGTTAGCGGCGCATGGCTTCATTTCCTCCATCGATCTCTGAGGTGCTCTTCTTGAGTGGTCAACTGTTCTCTTTTTTTTGTTTTTTGTTTTTCTTTGGTTGGTGCTAATATCTTGACCTTGAAAAGTAAAAATATATAACCAATAAGAAAGAGTTTCGTGATAATCTAGGAGAGCTCGGTGATGACATTGGTGATAAGGTTAACAGATGTTCACCCAGTAGGCTTTATCATATGTGTGATTCATTTCCTTTTTCTTAGTAAACATGTCTGATTCATTTCCAGAAATAAAAATTGTAAATACTAAATAGTTTTTGTTTGACCATTTGTCAAAAAAAAAAGAAAAAAAGTTTGTTTGACTTATCTAGCATTCAATCAGTAGACTAAATAATTGTGCCATAAATACAAGGATGGACAATAAACGTGAGTACGTGACCATGTGAATGATTAATTGATTATCCGACAGCTTTTGCGGTTTTTTGGTTAAAGGAGAAACCACCATGTGAATGACTAGATTATAGTTATGTTCCATTGCTCATCAATTAACAAAAGGTGGACGTGCCGGAGTGGTTATCGGGCATGACTAGAAATCATGTGGGCTTTGCCCGCGCAGGTTCGAATCCTGCCGTTCACGTTTTTTTCTTTTTTTTAATAAAAAAATTACACTTGCACGTGTGAAGATGGTAACGGAAAAACACTTGCATGATTTCAGTTTAGAGTCTTTAGACATCAGTGGCTCCACTTCCAAACCACACTTGCATCAATGTTCTTTTCAAAGCTGATTAGCACCTTTGTCGTGTTTTACGATTTTGCAAGTTTTTTCCCCTTTTCTGGAAATTTGGCTCACATAAAGATATAGCCATATAGGGATGCTCTGTTAGAATTTTGTAGAACTTTATTATTTATGAAGCATTTAACAGAATGTTTTTTGTGCCTCCATCTCTAGTTGCAGTATACAAATTCATTCCATCCACTTATTAATCTACTCTGCCACTCTCTGCCTCTCTTCCCCAACCAAAATTTCGTTCTCTAATCATCATCTTCTTCTAATCACCATAATAATAATAAAAAAAAACATAATTTCTTCTTACTGATGTAAAATAACCAATAAAAGAGTGTGATAACAAAACAAGCCGTCTCATGAAAAAATCCACAAGCATCTATATGTATATATATGCCTTAAACCACTACTCATCTATAAGGCTATAACAAACCAAACTTATCCATGCCTCCTAAGTTTTGTCTATTGCAGTTATTGAAGCTTATACTCTGTTTGATACTATGATGATATGGTACACCACCAAAAAAAAAACTACTACACGCCAAACTTTTTACAAGGCACACCATACCACAAGACATCATCAGGAATTAGCAGTTTCCTTGTAAGCCTCAGATCTAAAAAAACCTATGATGGTACTGTCCAACGATTCCTTCGTGGTCCAAAGATCGATTGGATTTCTTCCGATGGCTTCTGCATTGTCGATTGGATTTCTTCAGACTGCTTCTGCATTATAAGAGTAAAGGAAACAAAGTAAAGAACATTGATTTCAAAACCTCAGACTTCATACTGCTTCTGCATTGTACGATATTGTTTCTCAAGCAAAACCAAAACCCAAAAACATGCATATACAAAGACTCTTAGAATCAACAAGTTATATTAAGATTCAATGAGCTAGTTTTCTCTTGCTAGTGCAGAGAAAATACAATATAGCCTCTCATCTTCAGAATTGAGCTATGGAATCTAAAACCCGGTTTTTCACTCGAAACAATTTTGGGGGAAAAAGCTAAAACCCTAGCTAATTTTGACACTAAGCAATTCCAATACAGAATCACCAAAATTAAAGCTCATTCAATTGCAACAACAACAACGTACCTCCGAATCACGAGGCCCAGAGAAATCAACCGCACTTGGTTTAGATTCGGCGGCGGTACAATCTCGAGGCGACTCGAAGAGCGAGAGAGAAAGCTGCTTATCAGCAACACCAACATCGAAGTGGATCAACCCAGAGCTCTCCGGATCCACATGTATCCCCTTGACAGCAAACCAAAGGAACAGCTCCTTCTGCGTCACACCAGACAAATTCCCGATCCGTCCATCGGATAAAACGCCGGAGATGTTGTAATCGAAGTGGAACTGATTCTCGAACTTAGCATCGCAGGGAACAGGGAGAGTGACAGTGAAACGCCCCGTGTTGACGTCGATCGAGAAATTGGTAACTCCCTTTGGAACTATCCCGGCGGGAAGGTTGCTCTCCCGGAGGTAATCGTAAAAAGACGGATCCGGTAACGAGGAAAGCTGAAGGAATAGGATCGAAGAGAAGAGAGCGATGATCAGGAAGACGAGATCTCGAGTAGAACCCATTGAGAATAAAAGAAGAAATAAGAGGAGGACAGTTTCTTAGTTTCCGATTTCAATGAGGAAGAAGAAAGTAACAAAGGCGGTTGAAGTTGCCTCTGTCAACAAACAATCCGTTTCTTTCTTGAGATTAATTTAATTCTTCATTAATTATTCTCGTCGTCAGGTAATATTGATAGGCCTTATTGGGTTTGGGCCTGTACTCAACACACGCTGGGCTTGTATATTTGAAAAATTGCAATAGAACAGAGCAAGAATTCGTGTATGAAAAAACAGAGGTTATGAAGAAAGAAAAAAAATGTCTCATCTCTTTGTTTTAAACGAATAGAGAAACTAATAAAAACTCAAATCTTTCCTCACGAAACTAAGAAACCTAACAGACTTTAACAGTGAAGACGAAGGGAAAACATTTTTCTTAAGAGTCTCAGCAAATTGTTTTACCAAAAGCATAGAGATTTTGAATTTTCGTAGAGCTTCTTCTTCTTTTCTCCATTATCTCATGGTGCCGATTCTACGGTTGAACCACAAACAGAGGCTGTCCAAATCACAAAAAAAAACATCGAATATCAGGAGAGAGATCTTTCTATATTATATATGACCTTTCATTTGAAACGATGGACGTGTAAAAAAACACACACAAAATGAGGGTGTTGAAATAGACAAAGTGCTTCCCTTTAGTAAAGATAAAGAAATGAGTGAACTTACAGTGTCGAGGCTGACAGGCTTGCCGTCTTCTGCGACAATATCGACTACAGTTCCTGATTGGTCAGACTGAGGAGAAGAAGTTCAAGTTTCAGAGTTAAATCAAAATGGAAAACTTTCAGCCCAAGTTAATGGTTACGCATTAAGCACAACTGCACAAGCAATCATCCAAATATAATAGAGAAAGGAAGAACAGAGTTTGGTCATTGTAACTTATCGAGAAGGCAATCAAGTATTCAAGCATATGAACAAAAACAGTTAAAGATTTGATTAATTCTCCAGCAATTTTGTAAGAGATGATTTGAAATACTTAAGGGTATATCTAAAGTATAGACAAGGAAGGATAGTGGTCCATGTTCAGATGATTTAGAAACTCACCTCAATTTCATTCATTAACTTCATGGCTTCAACGATGCATAGAACTTGCCCCTTCTGCACTTTATCTCCAACCTACAGCAGCAAGAAGTCACATAGTACGACTTCAGGCGATGAAATGCGAATTTGCAAGTGAAAATACCTCAACCAAAATGACTTAAAGTCAGAGAAGAGATTTAACATTTCTGTTGTTTTGCAAATAAGGTCCAGGCTGTTTAGCAAATATCCTAACCTTGATAAAAGGTGGTTCACCAGGTCCAGGACTACGGTAGAATGTGCCTGCCATGGGGCTTTTAACAGTAGGAAGTGATGATTTGGCTGCAGGAGGTGGGGAAGGTGGAGGCAGGGCGGCTGGTGCGGAAGGGGCTGGTGAGGAAGCAGCAGGTGCAGGGGGAGGAGCCATAGATTGGGCATAAGATGGTTGGCTTGGTTGCTGCATCATAATATACGGTGTAGCTTGGGGCTGAGGTAAGGCTTCCTTTTTCCGAATGGTTAGTTCACAGTCGAGTTGTTTCAACTGCAACTCAACGATGTCTCTCGAATCCACAAGCCTGCATGATGGAAGTGGGATAATTAAAGCATGGTTAAAATGATAAAAAAGTAATAGAACAGGGAAACTGTACTCACTTGACAAGAGTTGTTACTTGGGTAAGGAACTCAGAAATAGACTCTTCTGTAGCTAATTCAGGTGAGGAAGAAGAAGAGGACGAGTTTTTCTCCTTTCCTTCAGCTGACGGCGCATCAATTTTGGCAGCATTTGATGATGCACCAGTACTAACCTTTAAAGGCAGGAGGAGAGTCCAGAAATGAACAATTGTTTTTTTTGGAAATCACACATTCTCAAAGAGATAGACTAGAAAAAGAGCTAACCTTGTTGGATTGAGCTTTCACCACAGGGTAGCTACTGCGACTAGGCTGCAATTTCATTTGCCAAAAGTTAGACAAAAGAATGTCAAACAAACATATATCTATCCATACTAATGAATGCAAGATCAATTGCTACGATAGGGGGAGGGAATTAGACCTTAGACTATTGAAAAGTGACAATACATGGATCAAGAAGCATAGGCAATTGATATACATGGATCATAAACTTTTCGATTTCTACAAACTTAATAGCAAAATCCCCACATCACACGATTGTATTCATTGATAAATCTGGAAATCGCATTTTATCATTTCTTCTCTGAAAGTGTATATCCCTGACTTCTAATTTACGGCGAGCGTATACAGAGGGAAACAAATCGAAAAATGCAGATAAAATCCACGAAATGTGCCCCAAGAGAATCAGATAGAGATGATCCAAAATCAGGAAAACTAAAAAACCACATTGCACAAGACCACCTCTGATTGGTAAGGAATCGTGTACCTTGGAGAGGAAGCGAAGCTTAGGCTTAGCGGAGAGACGGAAAGAAACTCTGCGGGAGCGGGTTGATGAGAGAGGGAGATGGGACGATGTTTGGGTGACTGAGTAGACGGAAGCAGCAGCCGGAGACGTGACTGAGAACGACGAAGACGCCATTCTTCTTCTTCTTCTTAGTTCAGATCCGGGTTTAGGTCTGTCTCGATGAAACCAAAGAGCTCACAACAACAACAGTTCACTCCAGAGAGAGAGAGAATTGAGAAGATGTCTGAGTCGGAACGCGTTGCTCTTTTGATTATTATTACTCTCTTTCAGATTTCGCCACGTGTCATCCTCTGATCTGTAGTTCTGTATTTGGCGATTAACCCCATCCTTGTGGACGGAACCGTTTATAATTTATTTTTAGTTTTACCTTCGAATTTAATTAATTAATTATCTTTACCTAAATTTATTTTCAGATTATATTCATCGAAAAATATTCTTCTCAATTTTGTGTGAATACAATTATTATAAGAAAAATTATATCTTCCCCAGAGGAAAAAATCTATTGCATTTAAATGATTAAAATTTTAAAATGCTAAATGTTTGTGTCGGTATCCCCAAATTTTTATATACCTTTTCTATAAAAAAAGAATAGATCCAAATACATTAATTAGCCTCAGATGGATTATGTAATTGAAAATTATTAGGCCAGAGGATTTGGTGAACTACTAAATGAAGTTGTGACGACTTAAGAAGCACAATGTGGTTGGAACATCCATTGAAAACAAAGCACCAAACATCATACATGTAAAGACAAGTTATATCAACAAGATACATAGTTTTCATAATTAGGCCCCCCAAAATTAAAAATCCATGTTTAATGTCACAATTTTAAAGAATCTGTGACCTCTGATCAACAATAGCCCAAACCATTTGGTTATGAGCTTATGATGCATAAGCACATTCATTCAACCATCCATCATTGCAGCATTTATACATACATTTTTGAAACCCGATTCTGATTAAGGGAACAACAAAGAGTTAGATACATAGAAGCAAACCAATTACATTATAAGATGGAGGATGATCCTAATACTTTACAGCATGAGTGCTTTTAAGAGACTCAGCCTGACCTTGCTGCTTCAATGGCGGCGAGTAAGTCTTCATATTTCGCCCCCGTCACTTCCTTTACTATTTTGTTGTCCTTCAAGATCTTAAAGGTCGGAACCACTTTAATTCCTAGCTCCTTTGCCAATGGCTGCAAAAGCCCGAGTTTTTGTCTTGAGGAGCTAGTTAACATAAGAATAAAGAGACATTAATCGCAAAACGAAGAAGGAACCTTATTGTCTTGGGTGCAGTCAAGCTTAAGAAACACCATATCCTGGTACTTCTCAGATAGCTCTTTGTATTTGGGAGCAATCACTTTGCAAGGACCACACCTGCAGAGAGCCCAATGAAATTGAGAAAAAGGAGAAACTTTGATTCTTTCAACACCAAAACAAATCATTTATAAAGGAAATTCATCTAAACTATATCATGATGATGTAAACTGGAACAGCTTTTGGATGTACATGCTCTAATTATCTGGAAAGTGTTACTATTCATAAATTAAGATCCTTTTGTATCCAACATTCCCAACAAACAAAACATGAGTTAAACGAACGTATGCAGAGAAGAAGCCTCATGATGAAAAGATTACGAGAGATACTTACAATACTTCAAAATACAGATGAATAGTATCAAGGGGGAAATGTCTAAACTATGGAAGTAACACAACGTGAGAGGGAAAGTGAATTTCATAGGCAAAGACAAGGAAGAGAGATGGGTAGACCAGGACAAGATTATGTCATATCAAGAACTAGGAATCAAACACATGAGATTTAGCCAAGCTAAGTTTTAAGCTAAAGAGTTTACCAACAGAGTCAGTTAATCCCAAATCAGTAAACAACCTTGAAATCCTAATTCCAAACGACTGATTCAAACCTATCAACAATCTAAGTGTATTCGACATTTGAAAGATTCATGCCCAAATGGAAAACTCAAACAATTTGGAAATGAATCTTCCAATTCCCAGAACATCTGACGGAATCAAGTCGTTCCAAACACGAAATTACAATCAAGGAAGTCAAACTTCACACAAAGAAGAGGAAATGAATCGAAACGTTACCACTGAGTGTACATATCGAGAACAACAATCTTATCACCGGCGGCTTTAACAATTGGCCAGAACGTATCCTTATCAACCTCCGTCACCTGACCGACGCTGACATTCACTGTTTCTAAGCTACACCTCGCCACATACGAACCGCACCTCTTCCCAGAATCTAAAACACCATCACCACCAGAACAGAACCGGATTTTCGTCGCGACGGCGCCGGAGTTTAGGATCCGACAGTGCTGCTTCACGGGGATAAATGCGCCCCCGGTAGATGAAGTCGGAGAGCAATGGAAAGCCGTTGGAGATGGAGCGATCCGAAGAGAGAGAGGCATTGTTGAAGAAGAAGAAGTAAGCTCGAGTACGAAAACACTAGTATGTGTGTGTGATCGATCTTTCAAAAGAACCGGAAGAATTTTTATTTTTTTCTATTGGAAAAAACCACTAGTTGTAATCGTTATCCGTCTAATATTTGTGATTTACATAATGTGAGGTCAATAATACCCTTGAATGGATAACTAAGGAAAAAATCAATGGGAGGGTGTTTACGTATTTTATAGTCTTGATGTTCGATGAACGCGAGGTGCAGAATTATCGGACCATTGAGATACTTGTTGCAGCTCGAAATGACGATCCTGTCCCTTAATTATATTTATATTTGAAGTGAATTTTCTTTTCTTTTTTTGGTGCGATTGAAGTGAAATTTTCATTTTCATTAGATTCACATGTTTGACCATCGTAGAAGTCATATTACAAATATAAACAATATAATCTTGTAGATAAAGAAAAATCGTGTTAGGGAAACCTAATATGGCTTGTATGATTAATTTTATCTAAGTTTATATCTTACAGTATGTATAGGAAGAAAGAATACAAATAATAGATTTGGTTGGTTGATTGAAGTTTAGTGAACATCCCCAAAGAATAAAGATCCACTTTGATTCCTTGCTCCTTTGCCAATGGCTGCAAAAGAAACGAGTTTTTGTCTTAAGAAGCTAGTTAATAACATAAGATTAATAACATAAGAATAAAGACACATTAATCGCAAAACGAAGAAGGATCCTTGTTGATTTATCTCAACACCAAAACAAAGCAATTTATAAGGAAATTCATATCAACCATATATATCATAATGATGTAAATTGGAAGAGCTTTTGGGCTTATTATCTCTGGAAAGTGTTACTATTCATAAGTTGAGATCCGTTTGTATCCAACATCCCCAACAAACAAATCATGAAATAAACGAACGTGTGCCTCTAAGAAGGCTCATGAAATACTGTAACTTTTGAATACAAATGAATGAATAGTAGCAAGGTGGGGTCAATGTCTAAACTCTAAACTATGGAAGTAACACAACGTGAGAGGGAAAGTGAATTGACAAGGAAGAGAGATGGTTTAAATAACAACTAGATCCATTAAAAACACACTAAAACAACCTTCACTCATAAAGTCATAACACGCCATAAACAAAAATATTTAGTTTAATAGCAACAATAGATCCACTCAAACAACCTTCACTCATAACACTCCCTTAACAAAGATTTATTTTAATTACAATAGATCCCATTAAAACCTTTTCACTACGAACACTCCCTAAGCAAATATTGTGTTTAATAACACTCGATTTCAACTTGTTGGACACCCCCATCATCTTGACCGCTGGAGACCGTGATGGTTATTGAGCTACTCATCATCTCGATATCCTTTTTAATTTCTTCACGTTCGGGCGGCTTCACCATCCGCTTCATGCATAGCCATAGCCTGCGAGAGATCACACCAGAAATTGTGATAGCAACGAGCCATAAGGTTTCAACCTTATGGTTCATAATGAACAGGTTAAGATTGATGAACAAATTCAACATTTTTTGTTTTTTTGTTTTTCCTTTTGAATCGATATAACAAATCAATCAAACTCCGATAAGAAATCACACAAACCGATACCTTAATTTATAGGATATAGTTAGTGAACCCTGACTAGTTTATGCAATTTCATAAATTCTGGAATAAAACATGTAAGGTTTGACTCATCAGTATGCTTTTCTCTTCTTCTATATGTGTACTCCTCTGTTTCTTTCTTTAATGCATTGTGATACAGAGGCGGAAGCTAAGAAGAGCGAATTAGAGAGATTTTGAGTGAGTTGTGACACAAGTTCTTGGTGGTAAGCTAAAGATATTTTTTCTTTTTTCTTTTTTTTTTGGACTTAAACGGCAAATGCACTAATCCCTTCTTTGACACAAAACCAACGGAACCGTGTTGATGAAATTCGTATATTTAAGATTTTATATCAGTGTCTCATCAAAAATCAAAATAAAATACAGATTTTTTCTTTCTTACGCTTGTCGATGTCGTATACGAAATGTAAAACTTGAATGGTGGATAAAATAAAACCGATCTTTCCATTCTTTTCTATAAAGTAAAAAAAAAATTAAAAGTAGTGGCGATTCATTCCCTTTTGTTGAAATCACGAAAAGCAGCATTAAAGAAAAAAAAAAACAACAACAACAACAATCTATCTAACTTATCAAAAGAGAAGTGGCACGTTCTTAGAAAAGCAAAACCAGCTTCGCCTTTAGACATTCCAAAAGAACAAGAAGCTGCGAAGAAGCTGCCAAGTCAGTAGTCACACACCTATTCTATTCCAATTCCCTCAAAAGAACTAGAGTTTCTTCTTCTATATACACTTCTATTGTATGTATCACTTCTTCTTCTCTTTACAAAACGCTTTCGTTGAAGTCACACACACAATCAGCCAAACAGAAATGGGCCAAACGGAAAGGAAGCCCATTAACAAAATATATCAATTAAGCCTTGAGCTCCACAACCTGCAAAGAAGCCGAAACAAAGCAGGCGGTTCAGATCAAAAGAAGAAGTTTGTAATCTTAAATGAGAAATCTCAAAGGAAGCTATTTATTCCCAAAAGAATGAAGTCTACAGATGAAACAATTTAAGAACGAAATATATACGAGGACACTTGTGATATTAATTTTTACATTACATGCTTCAAATTACTCAATGTTTAGTTTAGACAGATTTATTCAGTTTGGTCTTCCCATGCTCTGTATCTTGTATACAAGAACAACTATACACTGCATGGATTACAGCTTCTGGACAAAATAATGCGATCTCGGAGCAATGGTTGCTTGGGACTACTTTTATGTATATTCATAACAAACAAACATTATAAATCAGAATATGAATAGCCAAATCTTTACATAGTCTTGTTTATCATTTTCTATGCACATTTTATTTTTTTCCATTCATAACATCTTTTTAACTAGTGTTGAAAACATTTACCCATTTATATGACTTTTTAGTTTTACTATTATTCGTTTTACCAACATAAGATTTTGACATTACTTCTCTCTATATATAAATAAGGATGGTGAAAATTTTATTTTAGATGGTTAGTTACAAGATGTTTATAGTCATTTATCTTTTACATAAATTTTATCTTTTTTTAGATATTACCTGGACCCCCAAAATATATGATGTGTCCAACTGGATAGTCTGAATACAAATCCTCAATCACTTTATAACCACGAGTGTTATCTGAAAATGTCTCAGTGTTGTTTACCAACTTATCAATCTCAAATTTCTCGTCTACTGTAGTTATATTGAAAATAATGGCATCGAAAAGTGGATGCTTTTTTGGAAAATAACCATTTCCCATCTGAGCACCAGACATAAATGCACTATATACTTCTCCTCCCCACTCAACATTGTTTGCATAGCTTTGTTTAAATCTACTTGCTGGCCAAAACCCCAATGTTACTTCTCCATAATCGAGCCACCAATTACCATTTATCTTATCCTTTGATAGAAAATTACATTATAAACAATTATTTTATAATAAATTATTACATAGGAACAATGTATCTGAACTATTGTATAGTTATTGGTAAAAACACTTTTAAAATAGTCTACATGATTTTCTTTAAAAAAGTATTAATCGCATAAACTAGCCTAATTATATATATACTAAGTAATATAATCTCATAAATTAGAAAATATGAAAATTAGTAACTTACAAACCTTGTATACAGCAATTGTAACAGAGGCACTTGGATTAGAACCACGAACACAAACAGGTTCGAGAGCGACACCAAAAGGTATATCAGATCGGACTAAAATGATCCCAATTTGACACATGCTGTTATAACATTGGTTATTACCTGCCTGTATCAATTTATATATCGTTATGCTTAATATATATCAGTGTTGATGATGTGTTATTTAATAAATTTATTAGTTATACATATTATTAGTAATAAACTTACCTTTGTATACACAAAAGTCCGAGGTTTGGTGTCACCATATAACTTTGGATTTACCTATAATATAAGTATTCATTTCAAAATAATGAAATAATTATTAAAAGACTACTTAGCATGATTTTTATTTTGATATTATACATTTCAAATTAAATATAAGATGTGATAACAACTTACAATCCAACCAATTTGTATAAAATCGTCTCCAATCTGAATATGCATACGAGCTGAACTATATTGTGGGAGTTTAACTTTAGGATCATTTAGAGAAACTATCATCGTCGCTCCATTGTACTTTTTATTTTTTCCTCCTTTTGTACGAGACACCGCAAACTAATCATCATCATCACTATTAATCAACAATAATTTTGTAAAATTAATTATGATCAACAAAAAATATATTTACTTACATGATGTTGTTGATCATTATCAACATTGTAATGACTACTAGTGGAATTCCATGAACCACGAGGCTTATATTTCGTGGAAAACAAATTTAATCCCAAAAGTTCGTCTTTGGTGACTCTCTTAATAGGCACGGTACCAATAGGACACCCAATACCATTATCCCAAGAAATACCAAAATTTTCATGATTTACTCTTGATTTTTTAAGGGATGATATTCGACGCACCTATGTTTATAATTTTTTTGTATTAGTGATAAGAATAATATTTATCCAACTCACACAAAATAATAGAATACATACATTGTAAAGGAATAACTTGTTTTTCACTGACATATGCTCGAACGCTGGTTGTTTGTATAAATCCACGCATCCATATGTATCTCCATGTGTAGTCTATTATCCATACAAAAAAAAATAGAAGAATGCACAAAATTCATGTGTCATGGTGTTATAATGGTTATTCGTATATGCATAAAATCAAAATGAATAGATAGGTTGTCTATTAAAAGTTGAATATGAAATTGAACAAACTTTGATGATTTTAACAGCAGGCTTGTTGATGACATTAAGTTGCTTTTCGATATCAAAATGGTTAACACTTTGCGATGTTTTTGAATCCACAAAATGATTGTATAGGCTTGCCATCTCGCCGAAACAAAAAATGTAACTTAAAAAGGTTAATATCATCGTCCTAAAACTTATTTTCATATTATTTAAGAAGAGTGTTAGGATAGATATGAGATTTATATCTAATCACAACTATATATAATCATATTGAAAAAGTAAAGGGCATTACTGTTTATTGGATACATGTCACTTCTTTATCATCAAAAATTAACTTTATAACAAATTCATCAGATTTTACTTTTATTTTGATTTTTATGACATTAAAAAAAAAAGGAAGCAAATTCATTGACGAAAAAAAAAAAAAAAATTCAAATTCATCAGATTTTCTTTTATCTATGTGTGAGGATACATTATTACAATTGTGACTTTTTCCTCCACTAAAAATTAACTATTTCACTAATTCATTTGATTTTCTTTTAGTTATGTCACTTTTTCCTACTTTTTTTTTTTTTTGTTTTTTCTACCAAAATACAGATTTACAAAATATACAAAAGTTTATGTAAAACAAAGTTAAACGCGTGTGTTGTAAGCACGGATCCTATCAAGTTACGTTTGTTTATCTGACTTTATATACGAACATGAATGCAACTAGTAATTGATATTTCGTTGTGAGTTATTTGATCAATTTTGTTGGCTTTGCCTCGGTCACAAAGTGAACTTGCTTTTACTTAACCAAATAAAAAAAACCAACTCTAAACCAATCAAACTCAACCAATAGTGAACTGGTTTTGGTTTAATAAATTAAATCGAACGGTCTTGGCTTATTTAATATGATTTTAACTTTGGGTTATTGAGATTTTAAAACCGGTTTAATTAAACTAAACCAAGATACTTCTCATATCAAAATTCTTGAAAATTGAATTAAGCATCTGTGATCTTTCCGCTTGACTCCTTGGTAAATTCGTCGTTGCTCAGAAAACGACAGCGATGTTCCTTCCCCGCGCGAACGTTACGCGCTTCCCTCCACTCGCAGCTTCGAGGCGTCTCATCTCTGCCTCCGCCGATTCTCTTCAGAAATATTCCACCGAGAAGCCGCCGATCAAACCATGGCCGCAGAGACTATTCCCAAAGCGGTTAGTCTCAATGATCACCCAACAGCAGAACATCGATTTAGCTCTCCAGATATTTCTCTACGCCGGTAAATCTCATCCCGGTTTCACTCACAATTACGATACTTACCACTCAATTCTCTTCAAACTATCCCGTGCTCGTGCTTTCGACCCCGTGGAGTCTCTCATGGCGGATCTTCGCAACTCTTACCCGCCTATTCGATGCGGCGAGAATCTATTCATCGACTTGCTTCGAAACTACGGTCTCGCAGGTCGGTACGAAGCTTCTGTGAGGATCTTTCTTCGAATCCCTGATTTCGGTGTTAAACGCTCCGTTAGATCGTTAAACACACTCTTAAACGTTTTGATCCAGAATCAGAGATTCGATTTGGTTCATGCCATGTTTAAGAACAGTAAGGAGTCTTTTGGAATCACCCCCAACATCTTCACTTGCAATCTACTCGTGAAAGCTCTGTGCAAGAAAAATGATATAGAAAGTGCATATAAAGTGCTCGACGAAATTCCCGCTATGGGTTTGGTGCCAAATTTGGTGACTTACACTACGATTTTAGGTGGGTACGTTGCTAGAGGTGATATGGAAGCGGCTAAGAGGGTTTTGGGAGAGATGTTGGATCGTGGGTGGTATCCGGATGCGACCACTTACACGGTTCTCATGGATGGTTACTGTAAGCTAGGGAGATTTTCTGAGGCCGCAACGGTGATGGATGAGATGGAAAAAAACGAGGTTGAGCCAAATGAAGTAACATATGGAGTTATGATCCGCGGTTTATGCAAGGAGAAGAAATCAGGGGAAGCACGTAACATGTTCGATGAGATGCTTGATAAAAGTTTCATGCCAGATTCTTCTCTTTGTTGTAAAGTTATTGACGCCTTGTGTGAAGACCACAAGGTAGATGAAGCTTGTGCTTTGTGGAGAAAAATGTTGAAGAACAATTGTATGCCTGATAATGCTCTTCTGAGCACTCTCATCCATTGGCTTTGCAAAGAAGGGAGAGTTTCAGAAGCAAGGAAATTATTCGACGAGTTTGAGAAAGGTTCGATCCCTAGTCTCTTGACGTTTAACACATTGATTTCTGGTATGTGTGAGAAGGGCGAGTTGACAGAGGCGGGTCGATTATGGGACGATATGGTTGAGAGGAAATGCAAGCCAAATGCTTTCACGTATAACGTTTTGATTGAAGGCTTGTCCAAGAACGGGAATGTTAAAGAAGGTGTTAGGGTACTTGAAGAGATGCTGGAGAATGGTTGTTTTCCTAACAAAACAACGTTCTTGATATTGTTTGAAGGGATACAGGAGTTAGGTAAAGAAGAGGATGCGATTAAGGTTGTCTCAATGGCTGTTATGAGAGGGAAAGTCGATAAAGAATCTTGGGAACTTTTCTTGAAGAAGTTTGCTGGTGAACTGGATAAAGGGGTTTTGGTTCTGAAAGAGTTGTTGCATGAAGTATCTGTCTTTTGAAGAACCAAGGCGATGATCAACACTCAATGCTCAAATGGGTTATCGGCGTGTCTAAGGTATCTATCTTACTACCGACTTCGGTTTTTCTGGCTCGAGACATAGATGCATTGTTTTACATATTAAGATGCACTAATATAATAATATAAATAGGGCCAAAAGCTCTTGTGGCAGATGCAGGTATAAGGGAAGAAAAACAGCAAACCGAGGCTGCTTAAGATTCAGCATCCATGTTATGGTTCACCCTATCTTGACAATTTAGTAGTTGACTTTTGATGGGGGGGAGATGGGGACTTGCAAAGAAGAAGAGATCTACTGATAATTTATTATATCAATTTTGAGTGTGCGTAGATACTTCTTAACTGTGTGCACGAAAAAGTGGAAATTATAATTTCTGGTGAGAGATGGAGAGAGAGAGAGAGAGAGAGTTTGATAGTGTTAGCCCAAGATAAGTATAGGCGAAACCAAGTTGTATCATGGAAATAGCTCAAGTGCTCAATGTATGATTACTCAATGAAATTTGATTTATGTTTTGAGCTTTAATAAGATATGCTAGACGATATACGAGAGGAATGAAGAAAAACTCGTGATTGGTGTGGAGGAGAAGACCAATTTCAGATATATACTAACAATACATTGTATCTGTACCTCTCACGGGACTGTGTGCCTAAGACAGACCCAAAGAATGAGAAGAATGTTGTGGAAAGAAATCAAAACATATCAAAATTTGTGAGGGCCACTTGACAACTTTGTACAAATAGCATAACTTGTATGCTGTATTGTTGTACTTGTAAATTACTCGGTTCACAAAAAAAAATAAAAAAATAATTACTTGTAAATACTCTTTGACACATGTTACTTTAAACTTTAAACACTATACCATATATCATGATTATGTATCTCTTAACAAAGTATATAATCTTATTTTACATTAAATTTCACTAATGAACTAATCTATTAAAAAGTTTAGGATTTTTAATTAAAAAATACCAATTCTTGGAGAGTTTTAGCTATAGTCACCTTAAAATGTTTTTTAACACCAAAAAATTTACTAATTTGTATGTAAGAATCTACGTATATTCAGTGCGGCATTATAAAATTACGTAAGTTGTGATTCATATTTCGATATGTGGTTTTTGTGTCAAATTTACAAATATAACGGTACAAAAAATTAAATAACCGCGCGAAAATTAACCTAACATATATATAATTAAAAAATTGATTAGTGTTGTCTATTTATAGGTTTGTGACAATTACTGAGAAAAGCAAGAAGCAAAAAAAAAAAAGGGAAAACAAAAGAAAAAGAAAAAACAAAGACATATCCAATGTCTACTGCTTCTTCACTATTAACCTTCCCTTCATTTCATCTCAGATCCCTCCTTCATCTCCCTTCTTCTCCTCCCTCTTCCCGATTTGCCCCTCTTCGTCTTTCTCCGATCCGATCTCCGGCGCCGAGAAGTCACCTGTCTTTCCGCACTTTCTCAGCCGTCAACATGACCGATGCTAATGATGCCGGAATGGATGCTGTTCAGAGACGGCTCATGTTTGAGGACGAGTGAGAAATTCGATTCCTTTAGTTCGGTTTTTTTTTTAATTGTGTTTCGTTGCATTAAGGAACCAAAATTTAGGTTTTATTAATCAAGACGAAATCTTCTGCCATACGCAAAACCTCTCTCTGTTGTGTTTTTTGTTTTTGTTTCTTGTCCATTTTTGATTTAAAAGACCGGCAAAATATGTAATACATGCAACTAGGAGATTGAAAATATGATCAAATGTGGTTGGCTGCTTGATGTTCTGATTGATTTTATGTTTTTGCCTGCGCTATGGTGGCTTGATCGTTTGTTGGTTCTGCAGATGCATTCTCGTTGATGAAAATGATCGTGTGGTTGGTCATGACACTAAATATAACTGTAAGTGAATTTCTGATAGCGACCTAAGCTGCTTTTGCATTCGTTTCCTTGCTTTTTTATCATTGAAACACATGTGCATGTCGCTGATTTGTCCTTGGAATGTGTCTTAGTAATCAGTTTCAGTGACCTTGCTTCTCTTTAAAGTGTTGAAATTTGGTTGGTCCAGGATAATACTGACTCCCAATTTCAATCTTCAGGTCATTTGATGGAAAAGATTGAGGCTGAGAATTTGCTCCACAGAGCTTTTAGTGTGTTTTTGTTCAACTCCAAGTATGAGTTGCTTCTCCAGGTATTTTCTTAGGATGTGAAGATAATTTAGCTCTATCAAAAATGGTGGTTGGGATTATTATTTGGTTCCTTCAAATTATGTGCCATGTACTGAAATTTTTTTTCTCTATGGACAGCAACGGTCAAAAACAAAGGTTACTTTCCCTCTTGTGTGGACAAACACTTGTTGCAGCCATCCTCTTTACCGTGAAGCTGAGCTTATTGAAGAGAATGTCCTTGGTTTATTTTCTGGAATGAGCTTAAGTTTTATGAGACATGATGAAGCTTTCACTGTTGTACTACATACTGATCCCGAGTATTTGATCTTTCCTTCTCAGGTGTAAGAAATGCTGCACAGAGGAAGCTTCTTGATGAGCTTGGTATTGTAGCTGAAGATGTACCAGTCGATGAGTTCACTCCCTTGGGACGCATGCTTTACAAGGCACCTTCTGATGGGAAATGGGGCGAGCACGAACGTAAGTAAATCTTCATGTTTGATCATTTCTCTTTTTAACTCCTTTTGACTTGGTGATTTAATATCTCTCTGGATTTTTTTTTGCTTGCAGTTGACTATCTGCTTTTCATCGTGCGGGATGTGAAGCTTCAACCAAACCCAGATGAAGTGGCTGAGATCAAGTATGTGAGCAGGGAAGAGCTTAAGGAACTGGTGAAGAAAGCAGATGCAGGTGATGAAGCTGTGAAGCTGTCTCCGTGGTTTAGACTGGTGGTGGATAATTTCTTGATGAAATGGTGGGATCATGTTGAGAAAGGAACTCTCATTGAAGCTGCAGACATGAAAACCATTCACAAGCTCTGAACTTTCATAAGTTTTGGATCTTCCCCCTTGTCAGTAATAAAATTGAGAGATGAGACTTTATTAATTCCAGCCAAAACTGGCAACCAACTCTCTTTGTAGAATATAATATACATGTTTATTCCTCCTCAAACTCATCTATAGCTCAGTTATCATTTGCACAGAATATGGAGTTAAATGTTTGCACTCAAACAATTATTTGAATTATTTTTACTTCTTCAGTTAGAATTTACAAATAAAGTAAAGAAAGAACATAACACGTTAAGACAGAACACAAAAACAAAAAGGAAGAAGACAGAACAAAAAAAAAAAAAAAAAAGGGGGTGGAGAAAGTAAAATTAAAGACCACAAGATTGTCAAGTAAATCTCATATGATTCCTTTCTCTATTCTTCCACCACTACCTTTGATCTGATTTATACCAAAACATCTTCTTTTCTTGTCAAAAAGTAAACAGTAGTTTTATTGTATTATGGAGAAATGAGAGCAAGTTTCTACCTTGATCTCCTTCAAAATCACTTTAGCTGAAATAGTAACACTGTGAAGAGTTCTTCTGCGTCTGATCCAGGTAACAAAACTTGATCTGATCAATCATTCCAGATAAATATTTTCAAAAGTATTTATCTTTTTTCCTCTGTTTGTTCCATTTTCCATGAAATAGATTCGGTGATCATACTCTAGCTATCGAAATCTTATTACTATTTATCAGATTATCATAAATTTTCATTCTGGTTTTGATCAATCATATCATGATTTTCTCGGATTGGTTCACTCACAATTCTCAAACTTTTTGATCATAGAAATCGTAGCTGAGAAAAGAAGAAGAAGATGGCGTTTGTGACCACTGCTGAAGTATGTGACGCGAATCAAGAGCTGATTCGGAGTGGTCAGCTCCGAGCTTTGCAACCCATTTTTCAGATTTACGGCCGTCGACAAATATTCTCAGGACCAGTTGTTACTGTCAAAGTATTTGAAGACAATGGCTTGATCCGTCAATTCCTGGAGGAGAAAGGTAATGAACTGACTCTGCAATTCTAAAGTTCAAAACTTTCGATGGATTCGACAAGTTATGAACTTTGACATGCTTTAGTGCCTTGGTGTGTAATCTATCAGTTTTTGCAAATTGATCAATTATTTATTAGGGAACGGTAGAGTTCTTGTGGTTGATGGTGGAGGGAGTCAAAGATGTGCGATACTCGGAGGTAACCCCGTGGTTCAAGCTCAGAACAACGGATGGGCAGGGATTGTTGTGAACGGATGCATCAGAGACGTGGATGAGATCAACGGTTGTGATATCGGAGTTAGAGCTTTGGCCTCTCATCCGATAAAGGCGAGTAAGAAGGGACTTGGAGAACAACGAGTTCCGGTTAATATTGCAGGGACACGGATTTGTGATGGAGAATGGCTTTATGCAGATACTGATGGGATCCTTGTCTCCCAGATTGAGTTATCCGTTTAAACAACAACAAGGCTTGTCTCGTATGTGATCAGTTTTACTTGGTGGTTTATTACCATTGTTATTTTCTTTTGTGTTCCACATTAAACTCTATGAATCTTATTACTTGAGCGACGGTTAAGTTATGATTGAAAAACTTAGTATTACATTTCGAATGAATTGTCACATTGATTTTTCTTTTGATGATCAATACATAGCAAAGAATTAACAGTAGCATAAGCAACCAGAGCCAGGGGCAGCTAAGATAGGTTGACAGCCACCACCTTTGTTAGTGGAGCAACCATTCATGCACATCTTGGTGCATCTATCATCATCTTTTTTTGTGTCGCATTTTCCAAACTGAGGCTGATGGTTGCAACACTTTGCGAGTCGATGCCCCACAGCCGTTTTTGTTTCAGCACCTGCAAAGTATAACACATACACGTAATCATCAAATTCAGTTTCTTGTGAATGAAAATATGTTTTTGTTCCAAAATTTACGAAGTATAATACTAACCGGAAAGAAGAAGAGACACAGCTAGGATAGCATAAAGAACGAATTTTGAGTAGGCCATCTTCTTCTTTTCAAGTCTATAAGATTTGTTGTATTGCTTTGAAAAGCTCTAGGTTGATTATGTGATATATATACACAGAAGTATTCACTTGTTCACTAGAAATTAGAATGGAAAGAGATCACAAAGATCTTCAAAATGTATTCAACAATTCTAACACCTGAATGATATATTATACTCAATATGGTCAAAGGGAATATAAGTTTTACTACTCTGATATTTTATATTCTCAAGGATAAAAAGGAAATAAAATTTGCATTCCTGGAAAATGAGATTTGTTAGCAATTTTACAGAGGATACAAAGAATCCAATCTAACAGCTGGAAAGTGAAGTTTTCAGAATTTGAAAGTTAATTTCTATTTTACTCATAGGGATGTATTTAACTAAATATGTTTATAAAATGTACTACTCATGAGGAGATAGTTAAAGGCAGTGAAGAGGAATACAAAGGAGCTCACATAGATAGTTTTGTCGACTTATTGTTCAAAATTGCTGACTACATTAAACCGAAAAATTAATGTATTCACAACTCTTTTTGGTGACTTGTTATATTACTATCGCATCGCGTATGACATAGCAGAATTTGACAAGAAAACAAAAAAGAAACCAAGTATCTTCGTAACTATGTATAAGTTTTCTGTGTAGCAGCAATTCTTCGACGAGGTTGGTTTCTTCTTTCCCTCCGTCTTCTTTCTATTACTACTTCTTCTTCTTCTTCTTGAACTAGCTCGATCTCTGAGTTTTCGCTCTCCCCGATGGTTCTTGAAGCAGTGTAAGGGAACAAAACTGGTCTAAAACACCATAGAAGCGAGGTTAAAATAGGGACGTACAGATACATTGAAGTCCATACGCAAAGAGTCCATTTCCAGTTATAAGCCATTCGTTTGATCCATGGAGGTCTCGAGTTTATAACGATCTCAGCTGCGTATAGCTGAGGCAATGTTCGGGTTTGCGCACGCGGAATCAGAGTGGCTCTCACGGCTTTTGTTCGGGGCCATTTCTCTTGGTGCCTTAGCCCATCGATTCTCATTGTTTGTGCTTCGTTCGCTATGCCAGCTATAAGTGGAACACTCATCACAAATGTTCGTGCAAGTCTAATAGGTTTGCTTCTGAACCGTAACATACAAGGTTGGCTCGATCTTGCTATTGTCTCACCTTTCAACGATAAAAGCTCTACCTTCAACTGTACACAAGGCAATAGATCAAATTAACTGAATAATTGTATCAAAGTTTGATATATTGTTTCTGTAGAATTGATCAATAATATCAGAGTTGATTTTCAATGTATAAAAATGAAAAAAAAAAAATATATATAACATAAATATTAATACAAAATTAGAGTCATAATGGCAATTTTCGCAATTCACTGGAATTATTTGATTGATAAAAAGGCTGTAGATAATGATTCAGCATAAATGTTGTAGTTGTAGAACAGCATAAATGTTGTAGAACAATTAATATAGGCTTATAGCTAGTTACTAAACCTGATTTGGTTATTAATAAATCTGATTCCGGTGATTTAACTAACATAGCATGGTTCCATAGGATCATTTTGATTGGTAAATATTAAAATAATTTATCAAAATCGTGGAACCATGATACCATTCCCGTGATATTAAATAGTATAAAACTAAATTACACATGTACCTGAAAAACTCCAATTCTTCGATTAATTTCAGATTCAGGCATCCAAAGCAGTAAAGAGACATGAACATAATGACCAACAGGAACACTAAACGATCTCTTCTTCTTATCGAAACTAAAAACTGCACTTGGGTTTTCTTCTGTGTAATCAAAGAACAATCTGTCTCTCACAACCACAGGCTTTTCAACATACAAACTCACTACCCCAACACCGATAACAACCGCCAAAATCAAGGCCAACACCATCACCATTGACACGTGGCATGCACCCATTATCCCAAACCATGTCCTCCTAACAGCACGCCCCGCACCACCCGCAATCCGGGACGGAGCCCGTTTAACCGCTCTTTCGGCTGTGGAGACCGTGGCAACTGCGCGGCGGTAGGAGCGGTAGAGAAGAAAGAGAGGTGAGGATAAGACAAGTAATGCGTTGTAGATGAGATCGGCTTGGATGGTGACTAGAACCATGAACCAGTCGGCTCGTAATGGTTCAGGGATTTTGAGGTTGTTGTCTTGTTCTATCATTGTTTGTTTCTTTTTGTTCTAAGAAAAAAAATGTTTTTGAGTGATTCTTACGGATTTTGTTTTACGACAACATGATTAAATAGATAAATGTCGCTGTCATAGACTCATATAAAATATTTATCCATCTGCATGAGAAAAATGAAACGTGTTGGTTCGTGTGCTTGAGTAGTGCCACGTTGATGCAATGAGATCACACTGAATGCACCATAACGATTTCAATTGAAAGAAAAGAAATGTACAGGTATATTAGCTTATCCAGAAGTGTTGGATCTGGATTCTAGTTCGGGTTTTCAGCACTTCTTTGTCTAGACAACCCTTGTTAATTATTTTCATGAAAATGTAATTATTAAAAGATATATAACAAGTACTATAGACTATATAGTGTAGTTTAATGGCAATATAGTAACGTGATATTCTATTACTTATATTTCGTGTAATTTATACTGAAAATAGGAAACCAGTTTTTAAGCATCTGATAAGCATCTCTGTTTCTGATCAGACAGTCAAATGATCAGTTAGAGAAATGGGCATTGTTATTTGGTCGCGAAAACCATTTTTACTCTAGTGGTTAAAAGTCTAACCCCGAATTCGATACTTGGTTTATATGAGTTGCGTTTCGAGACATCGGTTGGATGAAGTAGATATTTGCCCTGACCAAACAACAATTCAAGTTCGACAAAAGACAAAAATTAGACCGAACCTAAACGCAAAAGTAACTGGAAAAAAAAAAATATTACCTGTCTTCAATAATGAATGATAAACCTATCTACTGGGATACGGTACAAAATCTAACACACGACCAAAAAGATTCTGGTCGTTGAATGTACAATTTCTACAATTATTTGTACTTTCTACGACTCATACTTGAATATATGTAAATCCATTATCAGCTTATTTATATATTATTTTGGTCAAGAAAATTCATTATTATCTTCTTCTGCTTTTTTACAAAAATAAAATAAAAGAATATAAATTACCGGATTTGAACGAATATGAATAAAAAAAATGGAGCAAAATTCTTAATATGCACCGTCCTACACTCTAAAATGACCCTTTCACAAAATAGGATAAATATTCTTTTTTATTTATTTTCTAAATTAATATTTTTAAAAATAAATTTCTCTACCTTTTTAGAGAAAGATAAATAAATCACGCATCCAACTTCTCTCATATCCCCTCCCCAAACCAAAAATCGTTTTCTTCTCTCAATCGCAAAATTAGGGTTAGGGTTTTCATTTCCCCTCTCTTTGCCAAATCTCTCATCTTTCATCGTAGCCGCCGCCCAATCGAAGATGACAGGCAAGGCGAAGCCAAAGAAGCATACGGCCAAGGAGCTCCAAGCTAAGGCCGATGCAGCGTTGACCAACCGAGGCGGAGGGAAAGCTGGGCTCGCCGATAGAACCGGCAAGGAGAAAGGTGGTCACGCCAAGTACGAGTGTCCTCACTGCAAGATCACTGTTCCGGATCTGAAGACGATGCAGATCCATCATGAATCCAAGCATCCTAAGCTGACTTACGAAGAGCCCAGGAACCTTCACGAGGCTTTAGCTGCTCCTGCTGAATCTTCCAAGCCTAAGCCTGGTATCAGAGGAAGCCTTAAGAAGTGAGAGTGCTCCATGCTTTCGATTTGTATTATCGATAATCCGATTTGGGAATTTGCTGGGTCTTTTTTTCTTGAAAGCTCCGTGTTTGATGTGAGAAATATAATCTGCGTTGATGTTTCATGATATGCTTATGTCTTCGTATTTTTATGTTATGATCATATATATTAAAAAGAAAATTTAACTTTTATGAAATGTCTTGTTTCTAACTTATGGGTTTCTTTGATTCTGGTTACTTTCTTGTCCATTAGCTGCAAATGCTATCATCTGTTGATCTTGGTGCGTAAGAGTTTATATGCTTGTTCTGAATCTATTCAAGGTGCTTTTAGGACAGGATCTCTGTTTTTGATCAGACATGTTAACTCATTAAGATGAGCGTACAAAGAGTTTGAGTTTGGTTCTTTTTTGTATGCTTGTTCAGAATCTCAGCATCTCTGCTTCTGATCAGACATGTTGGGTAAGCCTCTTTAGGTGAAATCTGTGGGGATTTGAGGATGACTGAAAGTTTCTGCAACTCGTATTAAAACGAAACCAGAGATTATTACTTCGATTTGATGTCTGAAACAAGAGATTACTACTCTTATTTATGTGTTTATAAGCAGAAATTGCCAATTGGCTTTTGCTTTATTCTTGTTTTCTTTTCGTTAAGAAAATGAAAAATTATAATCCTCATTCAATTTCAGGATGCTCTTTGTGGTTCTTTTAACCCGAATCAAATGACAATGGACTTAAATTACAGATTCTTTGATCTTTCAACGACTTGAGTATTCAGAATCAATTCTTTATGGCTTTTCGGTGTCTGTTCTTGTTAGTGGTTGATGGATATATAAAAAATGCAAATTTGAGAGGATATTTCCGATTTCTTTTGACAAGTTTTATTTATTGGATTCACCTCTCAACAGTCCTGATCATGAACATCTTTATACTGAAATTTTCTTGTATGTTCTGATTTATTAAACCAAGGGTCAATGTATCATGTTTCTATTTTTTTAGGCCTACAAAAACACTTTGAAAGAGTAGCAAACTCGGTTCAATTGACTTAGTTCAGATACATATAAAAAATGACATGTTTCTTAGGTTTTTATGAACAATTTAAGAATCAATCTGTAGACTTCTCTAACTGTAAAAAAGAAGAGAGAGAGACCAAATCAAATCCTCCGTTTTCTCAAAGTTTTATAAACTACCCTAAAACTCAAAAGAATCATCATCATCATCACAAGAAATGTAAAGAATTAAATTCCAAAAAAAGGAGGGAAAAAAAAAATCCAATTTCACCCTTTGGTGGCTTGAGGTTTTTGCTGTTCTTGGACAACATTCTCTTCTTGATACAGCAACTTTCTTCTCTTGAGACCATAACCATTGTACTGATAGATAATGCTGTATAGACATTGCTTTAATCTGAGCACCTCAAAATCCTCTATGAACCTTAGGTCTCTTTGTCTCCATTTCAAACCAGCGTACTTCTGATATTCCTCAAGAACTGATGATAAACACCAGTTTTGCACTTTCCTCAAACACCCCACGAGACAACCTGTCCTATGCTGCAATTAGCCACGGGAACACACCATTAGATTCAGTCTTTTAGCTCAACCCAAAGCTTGTTAAACCCCAAAAAGGGTTTTGGAGCTAGGATTCTTACCTTTCCGCGCTTACAATGGATGAGAACTGGATGATTTCTAACATCTGTAAGCAGACAAACATAAGAACACAAATGAGACAGCTATAAAGAAGAAGGTAAAAGGACATCAAGGAGTCTCTGTTGGTTCCTTACCAACTAGCACTCTAAGAGCATTCAACACTGTATCCTTTGGCATAGGAGTTGGAGGATCCTATGAGCGTATTAATAAAAAAAATCCAAACTCAGAAACCAAAAAAAACATAAACATGACTCAAAGAAGCTAAATATAAAGCTTGAAGCCTGATAACAAGATTCATCAATACAATTTGCTATTGCTGATCATGCAAATGAAGGTTATACAAACTGATTCAAAAATGTTCTTGACAAACTCAAAAAAAAAAAGATTCAATTCAAGTACAAAGGTAAGAAAAGGGAACATACCGTTTTGCCTTGGATGCCAAACTGGAAAAGCTTGATGTTGTTGGATTGGAGAGACTTGAGATTATCCTCAGGGTATGGTTCAGGACACAGATAACTGTTTCCAGATAAACCCAACAAAGTTTTGTAATCAAATCTTTCTGCGTTGAGGTCAATTCCAGTTAATTAATTATTATAAGCTAGTCTATTTATTATGATAGTGAAAGAAAGTTGTACTAATTTTTAAGGAATCTATCTCTCTATAAAACAAACAACGACAACGATGCCTCCTCCTGGATTACTAATTAATTAAAAAGACTCTTCTTTTATCCTAAATTTAAAATTAAATAAAAGCACTTAGAGGCAACAGGAGATTCAGAATCAAGAATCTTACATGATGGATCGAAGATTTAGGGTTGATAAGAATCCGAAATTCTCAAGCTGAGGGAACCCAGATCGGTAAATGCCGTCTTCCACCATTGAAAAATTCGGCGGCGGAATCAAAACTTCGCCGTCGTTATCATCATCCAACGCTTCCACGATTAAACCCATCAATCTCAACCCCGCCGGCTCCGTCTCTCGATTGGGAGGGAGAGAGAGAGAGAGAGAGCGCTAATAAACCCCCAAAATCTAGAGAGATAGAGATTGATTGAACCAAACGAGAAAATTACAATATTTTTCTTTTTATATGATTATTGAGATAAATATCATCAAGTGGGGGTTTTTTTTTTTCTAATTTATAAATCTTTGAAAATGGGAGACAAAAAAGATGACGAAGATTTAGGAGTTTCTTCAAAAAAAAAATCAAACTTTATAATAATAAAAAAATTAGTTAAAACCGCAATTAGATTTGTTGTTGTTGGATCCTCCTCTGTGAGGTTCTTTTTTTCTTCTCTCTGTAAAATCTCCACCAGATTATGACACGTGTCACATCCTTCGCTTTTCTTTTCGTTAACTGATTTGGAGAATTCTGTTTTGACCAAACGGGTCAATTTTTTAGAATTTTCTATTTTTATTCCTTTTTACGTAACGTTGAAGATTTGTTAAGACCTTTACAAAAGTTATTTATTAAGCTTAAGAATTAGGATTCAACTGTTTTCTACAACAAGGGTTTATAAGATACATTGTATTTACATAATAATATATATAACCCACTATATATAAACTTCAAATAACGTATGATCGATGCATATTCATACATTATATATTTTCATATATAGATCAAATTTACCATTATATATGTATCAAAATATGTGTATAGATTTGTAAAACAAAGCGTGATTAATTAAATAGAGAGAGCTATGGAGTGGATTATAAAGTTGGATGAAGCTAATGATTATGAGGAGGAGGATTAACAGCATCTTGTTTTGTTGAAGAGGCTGCAGCAAGCAACTCCGGTGGTATGAGATCTTCCCATCCTTTACCTTTACCTGTTGTCCCTGCTACTGCGGTTAAACCAGTTTCCCAACCGATGTGCGATACATGTTTTACGTTCGTTGGAACTCCTATCTCCATTCCTGTTGTCTCTATTTCTTCATTCTCTTCTTCTTTGTCAGCTACAAATTTTGGAAGCAAGAAAATTTAAAATACTATACATTACTTCTTATAGATTTTGGCTCTATAGTCATTTTGCCAATCCGTATAGTTTATTTAATACATTATTTCGTAAAATTACATCGACTAATATATTACCGAAGAGTTGAGAAATGGTTTTGAAGCTCTTGAAAAGCCGGTTGATACCGGTAGAGATCTCTGGTTTAGAAGCTGCGAGGAACTTGAATACATTCTTCATGTGGTCTTCCTCTTCTTGGTCACGACGTATCTCTTTCGAAAACACACATCATGATAGATCACATATATAGAAGACACATGAGATATGAATTCAATATATATATATATAAGCTACGTACGTACGTACATAATATATATAAAGAGATAAATGAAACCTTGAGGAGAACGATGATGATGAGGCTTAGAGTTAGAGAGAGGAGATAAAACGGCAACACTTGAATCGGAGATACACCCGACGGAGAAAGGAAGCACCACAAGTCTCTCCATTCTATCTCTCATTTTCTACCAAAGCCTTTCCTTTTAAAATACTTATATTTATATATAAAGAGTGTCTCTGTGTGTGTGTGTGTGTTATGTATATACACGATGCAAATGACAACCCACCAAATGTTTTAATGTAATTTTTTGTTGTTTTGTTTGTAATCTTTGTTAGAATATAATTTGGTAGTGGTCGTGTTATGTGTTTTGGCTGACTTTGTTGTGAAGTTACAATGATGTTTACTTGTGTATATCAAGTTGCGGTAGAATAGAAAGTGATAGCTTTAAGTTTGTTTTTTTTTTTGGGCTCAACTACTGTTTGGTAGACTGTTTTCTTTGGTGACGTATAATTTGCACTACATATTTGATCTTTTTTTAAGAAATAATTATAATATATGGCTAATTCGAAATGGTAGTTTGCTTATTTTATCCATTGTAAGAATATGACAATTGTGTGAGTGTCTTGTCATTGTGAGAATGGCATTGATTTCGTTTGTTATTAAACTCTTGTATGCACTTGAATCAAACGATCGAATGCATGTGTGAGTGCCATACGATCTAATTATGAAAATTTCATCTACTCTATGTAAACGAGAACAATCAAAAATCTATTTAGATTTGTGTTAATCAATATTTTGCAAATTAGTTAGCTACTTCATATAACAAATTATTTTACACGTTCCCTTTCAATGTTTCTCATCGCAAATGCTAAATTTTAATTATAGTTTGTGTTTTTTTTACGTCGTTTCTGTTTAACATATAGGAAGAATAGTTTGATCTAAATGGAGTCCATGATGAATACTCAAAGAGTCTATTATAGTGTACGTATAATGATGGCTTAAATGATTAAAATGTACATTAGTTGTTACGCCCCCTTGGAATTAAAGCAATCTATTATTTATTTATTTATCGTTTTATTTTGCAATGGATATATATATATAAATTATATAATGCGAAGGCCTCTCCTTTACTATAATTTGTATGCTATATATAGTACAGGCGTACAACTAGCCATCTTCGAACGTTCACAACTAGCCATCTTCGAACGTTCCTAGATTGATTACATTCACATTTCATCTACTACAAACATATTTACCAAGTCGAGGTTTATAATTAAACAAAAATACTGTATAAGTTACGACTTTTTATTATATGTAAACTTGTAATATTTCTAAGCTAACAAACTTATTTAAGCTTAATGAACATGTAATGTGGAAACACATGGTTATATAAATACACTGTAAACAATTTCTTCCTAATTAAGATATAGTATTAAAGATATTTACATATTATTTTTTGTGTTTAAGTTTCATTTTTCACAAAAGAAATGTGGACATATATTAGATTTGTATGACAATCGAGGTGTTTCAATACGAAAAGTTTTGTTGCAAATGTGTTGAAAGATGACTTTCTTTATCATCAACTTCTAAGAAATAACTCTTGAAAAGATTAATCATGATCAGAAGAAATGTGTTCCTCTTCCTCTGATTCGATCTGATGCAAAGACGACTCACCACTTTCCTCCTCGGTATCATCATCCGAATAAACACTTTGGTCTTTAAATTTTGAGCTATGAATTTGCTCAAACCGAGTTTCATGATTTTCTATCTCTTCTTCTTCTTCATCATCATCATCATGAACAAGACTATCGATTCGCATGCTTGTGTTTCTCGGCGAACCATCATGAGCAAGACTATTGATTCTCATGCTTGCATTCCTCGGCGAATCATCATGAGCAAGGCTATTGACTCGTATGCTTGTGTTCCTCGGCGAATCATCATAAGCAAGGCTATTAATTCGCATGCTTGTATTCCTCGGCGAATCATTATGAACAAGGCTATTGACTCGCATGTTTGTGTTACTTGGTGAATCAACATGATCTCTATCGCTGTTAGACCGTGAAAAAGTGCTTTCTTCGCTTGATTTAGAACTGGTTTTACTACTTAGCCTCTCGTTATCTTCTTCCTCAGAGCTATAACTATACTTTATCTTCAAGCTCTGTGCAGCTGCATTTGTTTCATCAATGGATCGTCTCTCACTTCCAGAGTTAGAGGAGGAACTACTAGAGTCTCTGGGTTTTGGTAAGTGAGAATGTTCCCCTTCTTGATCTTTTTCGGAGTTTGAATCAGACCCATCATTTGAATGTGTCGTTGTCTCTTCCTCCTCTTGCTTTTTCTGACTTCTTATTGGTTCTTGTTTTATTTCTTCTTCATCATCTTCCGATTCTGATGAAGAGCTAGAGATTTCGTCTTCCTCTTTCCGAGGAAGAGAAAAAGGAGTTACCGAACAAGAACCGTGTCTGCTTAAAGCAATCGACATACTTTTGTCCCTGAAGGACAAAATTGGCACTGTGGTTGGAATACCATCTTCCGTAGACATTGAAAGGAAGCTAAGGGCAACCATTACATCGCTTATCAAAGGACGAGCAGATGGTTCCTCTTGTAGACACATTGATGTTATTGCCACAGCTTGATTTAACCCTCTCTCTGAGAAATTCTTCTTCAAGAGAGGATCAGCCATATCCGGATATCTTTTTGGATCTTTAAATATTGGTTGTGCCTGCACAAAAGGAGACTATATCATTAAAAAAATTCTCAACGTGTTGAATCGAAGAGAAGGAAAAAATATGGGTTTAACATGGTTTACCCAAGCAACTAAATTTTGTTCATCATTAGGCTTAGTGTTGTCAATAGCTCTCCTACCAGTGATGAGTTCAAGCAATACAACTCCAAAGCTATAAACATCTGATTTGACAGTGAGATCTTCCCCTCGAGTGTATTCAGGGGCAGAATAACCATAAGTGTCCATAACCCGAGAAGAAAGAAACAAACTATCACCTGTCCCAGGTTCTAGATTATGCAGACCAAAGTCACAAAGCTTAGGGTAAAACTCAGCATCTAACAAGATATTAGAAGCTTTCAAATCTCGGTATATCACTGGTGGATTCACTTTGTCGTGCAAGTAATCCAATCCTTGTGCTGCACCAAACGCAATTTTCATCCTCGTTATCCAATCCATCGGCTTCTGCCCTGATTTTTGTTCTACATATTAAATCCACTATTAGCATAGAAACAAAACCTAATGTTCTCTTCTATAAACACTTTTTACATTAAATTTATTGAGAGCTTAGTTTACCGTAAAGATGGTCTTGAAGGGAACCTCCAGAAACATATTCAAAGACTAAAAGTCGTTGATCACCATCAGCGCAATATCCTATAAGCTTAACAAGATTTGGGTGTTCGAGTTTAGCCAACGACAAGACTTCAGCTTGAAACTCTTTGTTACCATGTAATCCATGCTTGTCTAGCTGTTTTACAGCTACCAACTACACACACATAACAACATAATCACTTGGGTTAAAATTGAAAACAACCAAAAAAACTTGTGGAAATTGTACTAATTATCTTGTTTTCAATGATGAAACTAACATAGTTGCGACCTTTTGAGAGGTTTTGGTAATTACATGCGATAAAATGTACGAATTCTCATAAAATCAAATCATTTGTACTTTGATATGCATTGAAAAAGTAACGAAAGTTGTAGAGAGGATTTGGTAATAAACCTGGCCAGTAGATTGAAGGGTTCCTTTGTAAACCCTGCCAAATCCACCTTCTCCTAAAAGACATTCTTGCCGGAAATTCTTGGTCGCCGTTGCTAATTCTCGGAAATTGAATGTTTTCACTGACGATTGTTCTGTTTCTCGTTCTTCAGTTCTTTTCGTCATCGCCACTGAAACCAAACAAATCCCACAACATTTTCTTTTTTAAGAAAATAGGTTTTCAAATTCTACTGTTCCAAGACAAGAAAGCTAGCATAACATCTTTATAAAAAAAATTGATGGAAGAACTCAAATACCAGGTGGTCTAAATTCTTCGTGTTCATCGTGTTCGTTGGTCTCGTTCGTACAAGGAGAGCTTTTGCTCTTTTTTGAAGTGAAACAAGGAAAACAATTCATGATTATTGTTCAAAATCAATTTAGTCTTCAAAAAATCTATAAAAAAAAAGTGTTAAAAAACTTCTTTTGTTATTCAAGGTAATAATTAGTAATGGCGGGGTCCTTCAATTTTTTGAAGGACCCACATTAAAAGAGACAAAATTTTGAGAGATTGTTAATAAACAAATCAAAGAAAAAGCAAATTAAGAGAGAAAAAGAAAGATGAAATTGAAACCAATCAGAATACAAGATGAACAATGAACTTCTCCAATGATCTATCCGAAAAGAATGGAAACTAGTTTCAGTTTTTTTTTTTCTCTTCTTTTACGAATTCTATTTTTTGTTTTTGCTACATTGTTTACATCCCCTAAAGCATGGGGAGCCATTCTTATTACTATCATCTTCAATCTAATTTTAAATCTAGTTTTAGTTAGTTGTAAGAATTATTATCTTCTAATTGCATGATAAAACCACTCTCATAAACCACAAAGACAACAACAATAAAATAAAATTGGAATTCATTAATTTTGAAATTTGTCCCCCATTTTTTGAAATTAATGTATTATATAGCAACCTGTATCACTGAAATACACACATAAAAAAGTTAATTTAAGAAAGAAAAATAGAAATAATGCTTAATTCTGGCTCAAAACATATCAATACAAATTGGAATGATATTAATTTTCCATGAATGTTTTTTTTTTTTTTTGTCAACATTTTCCTTGAATGTTTTAATTTAAAAAATACTATGTAAATAACCTATATTTGTTATATTCAGATATGATACCAAAACAAAAGAGATAAATAACCATTTGAAAATGAACACGTGGCATGATTTTTAGTTAACCTTTACACTTTCCCAGTCTCTTCCTTCTTTCATTTTTTTTTTGTTGGGTGTCGCCGTCTGCAATTTCTCCCCCGACGCTGATAACCGTAGCGCTTTGAATTCACAGTCGCTTGTCGCCGAGTTCGGTTTCCGAGTCCGAGTCCGAATCGAAGCTGATTCGATTTCTGTCGCTGTCTCTATAACCAAAGCGAAGATCTCCAGAATTTTCCCAATTTCTAGAAAGGTGGTGTGTTAATTTCCCTTTAATTCGTTGTCTGGGACCTGAAATGCTATCCATTTGGAAATGGTTCTCTTTTAATTTCATCGAGATGATCTTCTTCTTTTTTTGTTAATTGAGCTTATGATCCAAGTATTGGATTTAGGGTTTTTTTTTATGTGTGTGTGTTCCGATTCTGAGATTTTACCTCTCTCTCCTTAGTAGGTACCAGGTGTGTCGTTTTGAAGATTATGATAAGTGTTTCGCATTGAGATCAAGAAGACGAACAAACTCTTTTCAGATGCAATGCCTAATGGCTGATGGAGCTTTAATTACTTTGGATTCCGATGATATTTTAGCAGCAGACCATGTTTTAGCTGTAGGTAAAGAGTTTCCCGATGTGGAAACTTGCAGAAGAAGTTTGAAAGATTTGGCTATAGCTCTGCATTTTGATCTCCGTATTGTCAAATCCGACCGTAGTCGATTTATAGCCAAATGCTCTAAAGAAGGTTGTCCCTGGCGTATCCATGCAGCTAAATGTCCAGGCGTTCAGACTTTTACTGTTAGGACGCTTAACAGTGAGCATACTTGTGAAGGTGTTCGTGATCTCCATCATCAGCAAGCATCTGTTGGTTGGGTTGCTAGATCGGTAGAGGCACGGATCAGAGATAATCCGCAGTATAAGCCCAAGGAGATATTGCAGGATATACGTGATGAGCATGGGGTTGCAGTTTCTTATATGCAGGCTTGGCGTGGGAAAGAGCGCAGTATGGCTGCGCTTCATGGGACTTATGAGGAAGGCTATCGGTTTCTCCCTGCCTATTGTGAGCAGATTAAACTAGTCAATCCTGGTAGTTTTGCTTCTGTTTCTGCTTCGGGACCCGAGAATTGTTTCCAGCGGTTGTTTATTGCGTATCGAGCATCTATCTCCGGATTTTTCAGTGCTTGTAGGCCTCTTCTTGAATTGGATAGAGCACACCTTAAAGGGAAGTACTTGGGTGCGATCCTCTGTGCTGCAGCTGTTGATGCGGATGACGGTTTGTTTCCTTTGGCTATCGCGATTGTTGACAACGAAAACGATGAAAACTGGTCCTGGTTTCTCTCGGAGCTGAGGAAGCTTCTGGGGATGAATACTGATAGCATGCCACGGCTCACTATACTCTCTGAGAGACAGAGTGGAATTGTAGAAGCTGTGGAAACTCATTTCCCTACTGCTTTCCATGGGTTTTGTCTTCGTTATGTTAGTGAAAACTTCAGGGATACATTCAAGAACACCAAGCTTGTTAATATCTTCTGGAATGCGGTTTACGCGCTCACAGTAGCAGAATTCGAGTCGAAAATAACTGAAATGGTTGAGATATCACAAGATGTGGTTGCGTGGTTTGATCTCTTCCCTCCGCATCTCTGGGCTGTAGCATATTTTCAAGGTGTGCGGTATGGACACTTCGGTTTAGGGATCACTGAGGTATTATACAATTGGGCTCTTGAATGCCATGAACTACCAATCATACAGATGATGGAACATATCCGGCATCAGATTTCAGCTTGGTTTGATAACCGCCGTGAGTTGAGCATGAGATGGAACTCAATACTTGTGCCATCCGCAGAGAGACGTATAACAGAAGCGGTTGCGGACGCGAGGTGTTACCAAGTGTTACGCGCGAACGAGGTAGAGTTTGAGATTGTGTCGACGGAGAGAACAAACATAGTGGATATAAGGACACGAGTTTGCTCATGCCGTCGCTGGCAGCTTTACGGACTGCCTTGTGCTCACGCGGCTGCAGCACTGATCTCGTGCGGTCGGAACGTGCATCTGTTTGCAGAACCGTGTTTTACAGTGTCGAGCTATCAGCAGACATATTCGCAGATGATTGGGGAGATTCCTGATAGAAGCTTATGGAAGGAGGAAGCAGAAGAGCTTCAAGGAGGTGGGATCTTGAGGATACGACCGCCGAAAACGAGGAGACCACCAGGTAGACCAAAGAAGAAAGTGGTTCGAGTTGAGAATCTAAAGAGACCGAAGAGGATTGTGCAATGTGGAAGGTGTCATTTGCTTGGACATTCTCAGAAGAAATGCACACAGCCAATTTGAGATAGACGGTTCTTTAAGTACTTTGTGTTTTCTGTTACCTTTCTTGTTTTGCTGTAACTTGTAATGTTTAAATTGCACTGTACGTATAGAGAACTTGTTTTCAAATGGAAAGGGGTAGAACTTGGCTGAACTTAACCGTGCTTTGAGTTAAATTAATCTGGTTCTTGATTCAGTTTTTAAATTGTCACATTACATAAACAAAAACGTAATTCGGTTCGATGAATGCTTTCTTAGATTTACTTCACTTTCGGTTCTCAAAAGTCAAAACCATGTCAAATTTAGGATCAGATTAGACCAAATGGTTAGGGTCGGTTTGAAGCGAAGCATAATGATATGGTTTCGTTATATGAGTCTTCTTTTTGATGCTCTGATTCAAACTTTATTAAACCTTGACCTAACTCAGACCGGATTGGTTAGTTTCGGTTTGGGTGGTTTCTGGTGGATTAGAATCAAAGAAGTCTTTGACACTTAAACGCACGATCAAAGAGAAAATTGCGGGACGGAGCAGCAAATGCGCGAAACGTTTTTGGACCAATTCTACAGTAAAGTGATAAAAATCTAAACCATTCCCACGATTTGTGTTTATCCTCTCTGAAAAAAGAACCTTGGATCTGCTGCATTCTCTCCGAACCTTGAATCAGGTCAATCTCTCGCAAACCAAAACCTTTTTTCAATCTCGTAGATTAGTTATAATTTGTGGGTATTGCTTTGTTTGATCTGCTATTTCGTAAATTTTTTTCTAGGTATCGTTCGATTCTTTTCTCCCTGTAAAAATGTGATTTTTCTTGATAACAGGATCTTAGTAGATTAATCGTTTTCAACTGTAATGTCCCGCTTGTTGATTTCAATTTTTTGACCGTACAGTTCATGCGATCCGTGAGTTGACTGAGAAGTAGATCTTTGAGTTGATTAGGTTTGATGCCTATGGGGATCGTGTTTTTGGATTAGGTTATAATTTCCTGATATGCACTGATGAGTGATTTGATCTCAAAATGATTTTTTTGCCCTTGATTAGTTTCGATATGTGATTTTTGTGAATATTAGTTCACATTGTTCTGACCAAGTTCAAGTTTTGATGTATCTTTGCAGAAGAAAGCTTCTGAAGATTACCTTGGAACTTTTCTGTTTAGAAGATTGTTGAAAATCAAAGATGTCTTCAGCTGAGATAAACAAGAATGAAGTCGACATTGTCATTGGGGCTCTTAACGCTGACCTCACTCAGTTTCTGACCAGCTGGAGGCCTTTTTTCTCCGGTTTCCATCTGATTGTTGTCAAAGATCCTGAGCTTAAGGAAGAGCTCAACATACCAGAAGGCTTTGATGTTGATGTCTACTCAAAGACTGACATGGAAAAAGTTGTGGGTGCATCCAATTCCACAATGTTCTCGGGTTATTCTTGCAGATATTTCGGTTATCTCGTATCGAAAAAGAAGTACATTGTCTCAATTGATGATGATTGTGTTCCGGCTAAAGATCCCAAGGGGTTCCTGGTGGATGCTGTTTCTCAGCACGTCTTTAACCTCGAAAACCCAGCCACGCCTCTCTTCTTCAATACCCTTTATGATCCTTATTGCGAAGGAGCAGATTTTGTCCGTGGATACCCTTTCAGCCTCAGAAGTGGTGTCCCTTGTGCTGCATCTTGTGGACTTTGGCTTAATCTAGCTGATCTTGATGCTCCAACACAAGCTCTCAAGACAGAGCAAAGGAACACTTCCTATGTTGATGCGGTTATGACTGTCCCTGCCAAGGCTATGCTACCCATAAGCGGTATCAACATTGCTTTTAACCGCGAGTTGGTGGGTCCAGCTATGGTGCCTGCACTCAGAATAGCTGGAGAAGGGAAAGTGAGATGGGAAACACTTGAGGATGTCTGGTGTGGGATGTGTTTGAAACATATCTCCGATCATTTGGGTTATGGTGTGAAAACCGGAATGCCTTATGTCTGGAGAAACGAGAGGGGAGATGCCGTGGAGAGTTT